GAGGGTTTTGAAGTGAGACCTTGATCCACTCGCTCTCGGTCACAGTGTATACACATCCCCCACCAGGTAAATTTGGAATGGTGGGAGATACTTTTTTTGCAATAAGAAGGAGGCCAAAGCCTCCCAGCGGAGCATAGCCCAGTATTGCCGTACCATAACTTAAGCTCTGGCAATTCCAACGAGAACCATCTGAGACATAATTTAAAGCTTGTTCCTCAGATTTAAAAACGTCTAAACCTGGTTTTCCCTTGTAGCAGAGAGTGCCTGTCGTTGGATCAATGTAGATGACCTGAGTGTCAACCCTCGTCGACAAGCTAACAATTATGTATACTTCACCACTAGCCACGGTCACCACAACCACGGACGTGTCCCTCGAACCACCTACTGCAGGACAATGACATGCCAAGAAAGAGATAAGTCAATTAAAGACATTCACCAATATAGAATGCTTTAGATGTGAATATAAGCAATAAAAGGTCAAGTCCTTCCCTGAACTAAAATTCCTAATCACAAAAAGACAAACAAATTTTAAGCTACAGTAAGTAAACGCTGCTGAGTAGTAGTAAGGATTAGCAAACATGAAAAGAAAGTAAAAATGAGTCCAATCACTCACAAGTTACTCGAACTCGACTACTAGAATATCTGAGACCAGTTTGATCATTTCCAGACTCAAGTTGAGTCCAAAGAGCTCCAATATTTAACTAAACCAACATCCAGTTTCAGAAAGTACACCGTGGATCTGTAAATGTTATATGAAACATTTTGAATAACTCAAATGCGGTGCTCATTTCAGGGTGAGAAAACACGTAGACTCGAAGAGCTCCATGAACCAAACCAATTAGTTTAGTTTCCACAGGCTTAAAATAAGTTCAAAATTTCTGGCTAACTAGAAATACTTTGCAATTTTTGTTGTACTTCTGAAGCTCGAAGTCGAGCTCGAGATCCATTCATGTTTAGATCAAAATTCGCATCAAGTAGGCCTCGAGCTTAGACACGCTTTCTAGACTCGGTTTCGAGCTGGAGCCAAGTATGCAGCCACACTTCAAGAAGCAATACATGCCGACTCGGTCCGTCTCGGCTCCCACTTATCATAAATTCGTAGTAACTAACATTTCGCCAGTTCCCGTGTTCATAAGTATTTCTATTTACAAATTCCAACCTATAAAAGGTAATAGACTTAAAAAAAGAATAAGAAAAATCGAGTGCCCGACCAGTAACAATTGCAAGAATTGAGCTGAGCACAAAGAGATTTTCAATCTCGAGGTTCATAAAATTGTAGCCAGATCAACGCTCAGCAGCATGTCTCAAGCACATTATAGGCAATGGCATGAATAACAAGGCCCCGAATTCAGAATCCGGAATCCAGAACCGAAATCTTCAAATCGCAGCCGATCGCAGCGGATGACAGATGCAGAAGACGAGCGAGACTCACCCGGCGATTCCATTTTCCGCGCGAAATCGTCCAGATCAGGAGGCGTCTCGAGCTGCGCCGCTCATAATCACCCGATTAGCCAAGCGCGTGCGAGCGATCGGGAGAGGGGCGCGGGATAGGGGCGCGAGAGCTCCGGCGCTGATCAAATCCATCAACGGACAAAACACAAATGGATCAAGCGATCTCAATACTCATAGCTAACCAGAAAGAGAGAGAGAGGGAGGGGGAGCGCTCACCGAGTCGAGGAGGACGAAGAGGATGATGGGATGAACAGCGGCACCGGAAGGACGGACGATACGATGATGAATGGAGAAAGTCCTGGAGAGACGCAGGAAAGAGACGGGGAGATTGATAATCGCTATCGACTTCCCGTGGAATTTGGGAGATCCAAAAATTTTGGTTTTTGTAAAAATCCTGTTTTCCCAGTCAAAATGTTTAAATGCAAAAAGGAAAAAATTTGATGAAGAGGAAAATGTGGGGACGGAAGAAGAAGCGCCGTCGCCGTGGCCAGCACGTAGGCTGGGCGGATCGAGTCGGATCGAAAATGATCCTACTCAAATCGATCCATCTAACTCGTTTTAACCCATCCATGTATATTGTGGACTTAGCGACCCGTACCCGACCCGACCAGACCAGAAATCCATGTTTAGTAATTTTTTCCTCCTTAAGTTGTCGCCTCGGAAGAATGGGCGGCTTTTTTACCAAAAACAAAAATGAAAAAGAACGGGCAGCTCCTTGGACCGGCTCCATATTGAAATAGGCTATTAGCTGACCATTAACATTCAACTTTTTTGTGCTGTACTGTTCAAAACTCATTTATGACTCTTATTTTAAGTTTAAGGTAATATTCATGTGACTTATTTAAATAAATGCGTCTTTTCAAATACGGGTTTGTAACCCATTTTGACGGCTCTACCGGCACTTTAGCATAAAAGTCCCCGCACTCCCGATCCTTTCGGTTCGAGCCTTACTCAAGTAAGCACGGCATCGCCGCACCGTTGAATGCGAGTTGGAGCAAAAGCCGAAGCGATCCCTACATATATTACACGAGCCGGACCCGTGCCGCGGCGGAATCGGGATGTTCCCGAGATCGATGAGCGATCGGGAAATTCGAAACGTGTGAAGAGGCTCCAAATTACTTGGAAGTACGTGACGACCAAATCCACCAACCACGTCAACGGTGTCGTTGCCTTCGCTTTGTTTCTTCCGTTGCTTTTATTCTCTTCCCTTTGGCTTTTTTCGCCTTTTTATCGCTTGGCTTTTGGCGAGCGTTCTTCCTGTTGGAGCCGACCCTCTTTTCCAACTTTGGAATTGGATCACTTGATGTCGTGATCCTCGTCATCGACCAAAATACCACAAAGGCCCAAATCACGGACATTTGGTAAAATCAACGGATTGTAATCTTTCGAATTTCATGCTTCGTCTCGTTATAATTCGTGATAATAAACGGCATCCTCGTCTCAAATCTTACAATCACGTGTGGTTGATTTCTGTACGTTGATGAAGTTAATAGTTGTATTTGCAACCGTGTTGCTATGAATGATTAAACTTCTTTCAAAATTAGGCTTTTTGGCCCTCAATATCTATTGATAGGTACGTGGTAAAAAAATTAGGTTAGTAACTCTTTAAATTGTGTATCAAATAGGTAGCATAAAATGGGTTCATATAAATGTCCAAGAGTCATTTTATTGACTTAGTGTATTTAATGTCCAAGAGTCTATTTTGCTATGATATTATTAGATTATAGATTCGAAGTATACCTTGGTGGATTACAAAGTTTCCACCTCACAATTTAAAGGTCGCATTATTCCGCTCCGACCAATTATTTGTGACGGCACGGCCACGCCACCGCTATTGCTCCAATCGTCGACCCAGCTTGCCACCGCGAACCCCGTTCCTTTCCCTCTCACACTCTACCTGACCTCTCTCTCCATACTAACGTGGGGGCTACATAGTTGTCAATGGTGCGGGCATTAGGCGAGCCAGATCTGACTCCATTAGAGGAGGTGTCGTGGTGCGGCGGAGTTTAGGGCTACGGCTTATCGACGCCGTCGTGGGCCGGCGGTTGAGAGAAGAGTAGAAGGAGAGAGACGAGGTAGATTCGGAAGGGGCTTTTTTTGCGAAATATACAATTTATAGCATAAAATAGAAGCCAATGCAAATGGGCTTCTCTCAATTTTCCGAGGAAAAAAATGTTATATTTCCTAATAATTGGCACATCGGCCGTTTGAGGAGATATCATTTTTTTGGATGAACCTGTTCATGTTATTCTCTCCACCAACTCATAAATAATTCCTTCCATAATTATACCATTTAGCATAATTTTGTTGTCTTTTTGCTTTAATGCTATATCAACTGAGGGGGTGCAAAGGTTTTGGGATGACCGGAACCAAATCGGATCGGCTCAAAATAAGCGGTTCCCATGGGAACTGGTCTAGTTTTCGGTTCCAGGCATGGAACCACCCATCTGGACCGGACCGGTGTATATTTATATATTCAAAAAATGGAAGCATTCATCTTAAAATCACAATATCATTTCGTGTCTAATGATAAGCAAGAGACGGAACCAAATGTCCAAATAAGATTATTCATTCTAAAATCACAGTATCATTTCATGTTTGATAAGCAAGATCTTTATGTAGATTTCTTTATTATTCTTACCTTTTTCCCTTGCAAAGAAGTACCCACATAGAAATTAGATTCATTGTGATATTAATCAATGAATGCAATTTTATAAGGATTGAGGACCGGTTCAATGGACACACTCGAGAATTGAACCGGACCGGTGATTTGATTCCCGAGTGGATCCATGGAACCAACGGGCGGTTCCTAGTTTTAATTTTTCGGAACAGGTGGGTAGGAACTGCCTATTTGGACCATGTTCACCCTTAATATCAACTCGAGATTGCACGGTTTCCCTGCTTTACTTCATTATCCAACATTAAACTCCCATGTGAGGGGACTCCCAAGCTATGCGAATGCACGCCACTTGCTCCACCGGGTGATGTTGATGTTGCTCACCGGCGGCTACTCAACCTCTCTTAAGAAAGAGCAAAATAAAGAAAAAGAAAAAAGAAAAATGACATAAATGGTCTCTAAACTCTAACTCAAAGTGCAATGTGATCCTTAAACTTTTAATTTGTTGAAAATGATCCATGATCTTTAATTCAATGCGTAATGTCGTCCTTGAACTTGTTTAATATAATCCCTGAACTTTTGATACATATTTAATTTAGTTCGTAATCTACGAATAAAATGTCCAATATTATCATTTTATCAATTCAAGTTCAGGGACAATATTAAATATTTTTATATAATTTAGAAATAAAAAGTTTATGTACCATATTAAATAAATTAAAAATTTATTAATAATATCGTACATTTGAATAAAATTTGGAGATTATATTGAACAAATTAAAAATTTAGAAATCGCGTTGCATGTCGGATCAAATTTCGTGGACCATTTATGTTTTATCCCAAAGAGAAGGGACAAGAACCGGGATTGCTAGCGAAAGAGACAAAGGTGGCGGGCACGACCCCACGTGGAGAAACGAGAGGCGAAGAGCGGCCGAAGCGATCGTGCCCGAGGCTTCGACAAGCCACACGATTCCCTCCGCGATATCTCCCATTCGTTTCTCCCCCATTCGACCGTCATTGTCGTCATCCGTTCCTCGTAACGTGCGAGCCGTCGGCGCTAGCTTCAAGCTCTTGTTCCCCAGCTCTCCCAAGTCTCGACACTTTGCTTGCATGACCCTGCGGCCATTCGCGGCGGAATTCCAAAGGGACCCCCAACTGAGGAGCCGGCGCGAGTTCCCCATACAGACATTTCATCAAACAGGCAGTGCGCTTGGCGATTCATTTCTGTGTCGCGACTTTAGTTTCGCGTAATGTGGGTCGCGTGTTGATTCATTTCGTGTTGCGACTCCGTTTCTTGGGCAGAAGATGAAAGCGTGGTGATTTCTTTCGAGTGGTGATTGGTGGTCAACATGTCGGCGCTGCCCGTCTGCTCGGCTACTCCTAGCTCTTCTTTGCCCAGCCAGGTTCGATTTCGTGATTGAGAGCTGCAAAATTTCATGTCATAAATAGTGTCGTGTCGTGTTGTGTCGTCTTAAGATTGCTGTACAGCTTTAGAGAAACTTGGTTGGAATGAAAAGGTTGCTTATATGTAGTTGAGCCACTGAATATGATGATATTCTTCTATGTGTATCACCTTGAATTTATTTGCATTGCTTGGAACTGACTGGAACTTGCAGAATTCGCTAAATGGAGGACTGCAATCTTTAAACTTGTTCCATAAGGACTTCAACCACGGATGCTTTTCGAGGGACAAGATTTTTCCGGCTTCATTGGATGGAAAGAGCCTTCAAAGACATGCCTGTAGAACGCAGGCTACTAAACTCTCCTATACTGACATTGACAATGGTGTCGGAAAATCAGTCTGGGGTTCTTCCATAGTAACTACCGGCGAACCATATGATGTGGAGAGTAGGCATCTGAGATTTGTAGAAAGTTCTGAGCTGCCTTCCATTCAAGAAGGAGTGATGGAATCTACTGATCAACCGGCTGAAAATGCTTCCACATTTTTGGAATCGATGGATGTTGAAAAAGTATCGACTCCTGATGTAGCACCAGATATTCCTGCCTCAGTTGATGAGCCCTTTTCCCTAAGTACTGACTTGGTCGACGGTGTAAAATCCAGTGCTGGGGATATCTTTTCCCAAGTCACAGGCTCCATCAATGAGTTAGTAAACAAGGGAGAAAGCACTCTGAGAAGCACTTTAGATTCGATCTATTCCTCGGTGGGAACTGCTATAAAAGGAGCTAATGATGCAATAGACAATACTTCCAGCAAAGTGTTCTCTAATGTGAATCAGATGGGAGAAGCAGCTGGTGATAGATACACAAATATCACAAGTGATCTTAAAGGAGCAGCAACTAAAGCAGCTATTACTGGTGTTGATGTGCTGAGACAGACAATTGTTGTGCTGGAGGATTCTTTGACCAAGGGTGCTTCCTTTATTGTTAATTCTTATAGTTCTACCAAGCAAATGCTCCCTCCAGAGTTTAGAGAAAGACTTAATTTTTCAGAAGAGAAAACAGCGGAAATTCTGAAACCTGTTGGAGTTGCTTTTCAACAGGTGATTCTCTTTGCAAAATTGGTTGGGTACTAAGGATCAATGTTCTCAAATCACAGCATTGTGACTCCTATTTCGTGAATCATGAGAAATATCCTGGTCAGAATTTTTTATCAATGTAATCTCAATCTGACCATCTTTTGCTTCTGGATAGTGATTTCTGTAAATGTTAACCAATTGTCGTGATGACATTGTATTTTCCTACTGATTCTATGAACTCTCGAGATATACTCTATGATTTTCATAGCACACTGTATACACCTGCTGAACTGGCAGGCTCCTGAACATTCTTATATGTGAATCTCTAATGATGGTTTAATCATTGTAATGGAAAAGGTTTACATGACAATTGTGGAGCTGGAGAGAAGTCTTGGTTTGGACCCAAATGATCCAATTGTGCCCTCTGCTCTTTTCCTTGGCACTGCTTCCGCCTTTTGGTATGATTGTCCTTTTGTGCTATTCTCTTTACTAATTTCCTGTTGGAAAGACACCATATGATAAAAAAAATTCTATTTGCATGGATTTATGCAGTAAACGAGATTTATCTATTTAGTAGAGAGTTCATATATCTCATCAGATTTTTGCAGGGCTTTTTACTGGGCATGGACATACAGTGGTTATTCTGGAGATATATCTCCCAACTCAACATTAGAGCTCTTGATGGGAAAGGAGGGTGCTGTACTTATTGATGTTCGGCCCGAGGCAAGAGTGTAAAATTTTGTAGCCTCATATTTTTTACTTTTTTGCTGCCGTATATGTGATGATTAATTTTAACTTCCATGAGTCTGCAAGCTGGCTTGAATCACAATCTTCTCGTGCTTACTTTTAAGCTGTCTTTTTCAATCATTTTTTAGTTTACTTTCATTGATGTCGCTTGACATACTTTCACGCCTACAAAGGGTCTCATTGTTTGTTTGTCTTTGATAAGGTACTGATTATCTATTGGTTTCATCCGTTACTTTGTTAAGGTTCTTAGAGAAACTGATGGCATTCCTGACCTTCGGCGTGCTGCTCGTTTTCGTTATTCAAGTGTATCCCTACCTGAGGTAGTCTTCTTTACTCTGAAACTGGAAGCTGTATCAAGAATTACATTTGCATGGATGTTGATCCTGTTTATCTGTTAAATGAACTGACAATTGCGCATCGCTTATTACATGGTGCCATCTCTACTCTGATCTCTCTTTGAGAATTTCTTCTGTCAAATTAAGTCTGCATTTTGCCTATATTAAATGAAATCCACGAGGCGCATTTTTGCCTCTGAGAGATTTAGCTTTTAAATTCTTGTTTAGTGCTAGATATGATATACGCAGATCAAACTTTTGCACGTTCAGTCATCATCTTTATAATCATGTCTTAATAAACTTAAATGAGTTGATTATTCAAGTTCTTCAGATCAGTAACCAAAAAATGAGTCTTCTTTCAATACTGTTACATAGATGAGGAGGATTTATTAATTTTTTCTGACAAACTTGAGAATCAGCTTTAACAATATCATAAATCGCCGCCAACTGCTTATGAGGCATAGGGACCCACTTTGTGTTTATTCTCTCGTTATTGATGATTTGCTAAGGGAATGCATCCTATTTAATATCTATTTGGGCTGAAGAATGGATACTTTGCCTAGAAGATACTCATAAAATGCGATATCGTGTTAATTGTTGATCTCCAGGTTGATGGCTCTTTGAGGAAACTCCTAAGAGGTGGTAGAAATGTTGAAGACTCATTAACTGCAGTTGTCATTCGGAACTTGAAGATAGTTCAGGTATGTGATTTATGTTTTAAACTTTTAATGTGGCTGTCCATTTGGTAAGGCTTTAGTTGGCTCAGTGACTTTTGTTAGAAAAGCGTAAGAATATATTGCGCTGGACACTTCCTAAACCAAATTCCATATTCTACAACTATAATCTGACTTTAGAGATTTTGGAAAGTACTTTCATGTACTTCTTCATGTATAAGTTTTAATATTTGAAGAACCTTGGTTATTTGCAAAACATGATTTTGAGATTCTGCTAGTTTATTAGTATATCATATCCCGAACAGAGCAGAAAAAGAGAGTCAGGGCCCAAGCTAAAACTAGGCGAGATGATGCATGAATAGTCTATATGCATATCTAGCTTTGAAATAATCCATCCATCCAACCGTCTATTGTAATTTGTATGCACATATATTGGCACAATGAAACTTGGTCATCATGTCTGAAGAACATTTGATCAACTCGATTTTCTTAAGGGTGTTAGCTTGGTGTGCTTGTCTGTTCTATGTTTTATGAGTACCCGATGCTATATAATTTTGATTCTTAATAAAATTCAATAGAATCAATCTTCTCAGAGATATGTGCTCCTGTTACATGTAGGATAGGTCAAAGGTAATAATTTTGGATGCAGATGGTTGCCGATCAAAAGGGATTGCTAGATCTTTGAGAAAACTTGGAATTAAGGCAAGGAACTTTTCTGCTTGAACCATTCTCCTTCGTGGAAATTGCAATTCTTTGGGAATTTAGTGCACTTTGTGTTAACATGTATATGCTAACTGCGTTTTATGATGTGTCACTGTCTGGGCTCATGCCACTCATTCATGAACTTTGCTGCATGTATCAATTCAAGCTTGGACCATGTTGTGTGGCAGTTGAAATGTGACGGGGTCCAGAATGTCAAATTTCTGTGGAGTTCTACTTGCAATACATATTAGTCAAAATGAAGAAACACGATGATGATTTTCCCTCTTTTGATTACTTTGGTTTAGATAATTAATGACAGCGATCCAGTTCGCAAACTCTTTTCGCAAACTTACTCAATAGCATGTTTTATAAGAAACTTTGTCAATGCAAAATAAGAATGGGAGTGGACCTGTTTACAAAAGCGCTTTGCAGACTGAGGATTTATTATTTTCTTAAGACTAGGTGTGCTAGTATTTCTCTATAGGAGTATCATGAAGTGTCACAAAGGAATTCCCTGGAGCTAGGACGTATGTATAACTATAGGGGGATGATGCTATGGACTGCATTCTCAATCTTTTGTGATGTTTCATCAATAATAGTCCACTTTCAGTCAATCATTACTGTTAAATTGGGTCATGCTAAGAATTTCTCAGTGCAAAATGTTCCATCAGCAGTCAAAGGATACGAAGCTTATACGGTAGAGCAATGTAGTAAATGATGTTTCTCCTATTCTTTGAGATACATGCCGATGCAGCGATGCTGAGTAATTTCTCAACATGATTAAATATCTTCTGGAACAGTGTAAAGTTTAAGCTTCATAACATGATGCTTGCTTAAAAGGCTTTATGGTCTTTAGAAAATGGATAGTCAGATCTATGCTAAATTTAGGTACATAACTTTCATTGACAGAAATCATACTTGGTCCAAGGTGGCTTCCAATCTTGGGTGAATCAGGGTCACCGTATTAAGGAGCTCAAACCTGAGACAACACTTACTGTACTCAAAGAGGTACTTCCACTTTGATCCTGATAAATTTTCATCTATCTTATGGAAGCATATCCTTCTTAGTTTACTTGGAAGAATAGAAGACAATCTTATTTCTCATTGCTACTTTCCCTTTTCTAGTGAGACCATATGCATCTATTTTTTTTTATTTTAGGTTCTATATATAATAGTTATATCAAATCTAATATAATGCCTATTATTATCCAAGTAAAGTGTTGCTCCATAGCAACTTATTATGAAAAATCAACGCATAATAGGAGAGTGCCACCCTAAAGAGAATTCTAGAAAAACTGCATTTTATCTTTTGTAGTTTAAAATTTTAAAAGAAGAGATGTATAAAGAGCTAACTATATTAACTAGGATCTAATAATTAGAGGATACTGGAGTGTCGATTGCGACTTCTATGATAGCAGCGAAATCATGTCTCAGAGCATATGCTCTAACTAGCTGAAGTAAGTTTAATTTGATAGATCAAGTGATATGATATATTCCTGGCCCAAGTAATCAGCTTGGTTAATAATTTTCATAAAGATGAAAGGGAGGGGTACTTCTTACTCGGCTAACACTAACCATTTTGAGTATTCTGGGCTTATCCTGCGGGATACTTGGAGTTGCGGTGCTGTAATACATATTAGGGCTCCTAGTCAACCTTCTTCTGCGCGGTAAAGAATGCTGTAACATACATATAGTCATGCATGCATCTGATGAAGAGGCTATTTATCCAGCAAATTTTAGGGGTTAAGTTCTTTTTGGTAGCACTTACTGTGTCTACATTCCTAGGAGATGGGGATGTGGCTTCATATTTAATTAATGGGCACAGTCGCAAGGGTGTGTTGCCTGACCCAAAATGCATTTGAGAAATGGATAATTGCATGCTCAAGGGCACCTTAGTAATTTTGTTTTCGAATTTCTAAGTAGTGTTCTCTAGCATGAATTATCCAGCATTGTCGAATAAATGTTAGCTTCCCATTAACTGTGACAGTTTGATACTCAGCTTTGTTCAAAGGACTGATCTGCTTCAGATGCTTGTGCATCTTGACATCATTTCAGGAAGCTGAGGCAATACTGGAGGAGATCAACCCTTCTCCTTTGCAACTTTTTGCTGCTGGTGTGGTAAGACCTATATAGTCGCACCTTTTGCTTCATCGAACAGTTTTAGTTGATTGCATCTCTCTATTACCTGTATTCTGTGTCTTATGTACGCGTTAACAGAAATGCAGATGATCAACTGGCTTAAAATCTCCATTTCCCACCTGTTTGGCATGCATATATGTCAATCTGATTTGCTACTTCTTTCTCATATCTGTATCGCATATCTAAACTGTTTTAGGATACTGAATATGAGCTAAGAAGAGGGTTCGACCACATATATGTCAAGCTAATGCCAGCTCTTCACCCTCTGGAAGATGGCCTATCTGCGATCAATATTGAGGGGTTTGCTGGCAAAAATAAATAAATAAACTAAATGGCCCTGCAAGTTTCCTGATTGAGTTCTTTATTGATTTTAATTGGGGATAAAGATGGATCTCTGTGCATCTTCATATATATCTTTCACCAATCGGTTTAAGAATTTCATGGCAGGGTCTTGTGGCTGCATTATACGCACTTGTCGGTGAGTGTCTTTTCCTGAAGAATGCTTCACAATGAATTTGGATATTGTTTGGTTTAGATGGTGGTATTTCAGCATGAACCTATACTACTTATATGCATGATATTCTTTGGGATTTTGGCAAGGTGGGGGGTGGCAGACTGGTGTTTTACTGTTCATGCATAAGTTTGACTTGTTTTTCATCCTTCTAAGCAGAAATTAATGTTTTTCAGAGTGGGAGAAGACTTTACAATTTATTGGAGTCATTGGCCTCGGCCAGGTACTTTTCACATCCTAAGATGATTTAAGCTGGTGACTGCCTTTTCTCCTTCTGTATTTTTTGTGAAATCATTTCTGCTACGGTCTTGCAATTTGCACTGAGATGTGTATGTACTTATGTAAAGGCTCCTAAAGTTTGCACTTAGACTGTTTTACGTGTTGAGGGTGGAAGATTGTAAAGTGAAGAGCCTCTTGTAGTAATCCACATGATGATCGCACTTGAAACGAAAAAATAGTTATGTAATTACGGCAAAGGAATGTGGTGATTTTTAAAGCCTGCACATTTCATGCTGCCGTCGGATAGTGAGCCAATTGTTATTGTTCTCACTGTGCACATATGGAAGGGGAGCCATATGAGGCTTGTACAAGCCCCCTCTGCTGGAAAAATGTAGATTCAACGATGATATTGTTCATCCCTCAAGTAGGCCTTGTGGGCATTGATATGTGATTTTGTTAATCGTGGTGGATCAGGCTGCTCCTAACATCTATGTTAGCGCAATCTGATGCTTGTTTCAAGCCTCAAATGTTTGCAACTTACACGAGTTTTCCTTGATTGTTTTGTTAGAATTCCCCACATGCCTCCCAACTTTTGCTAATTGTTATCGTACCTTCTTATATTGCTTATTTGCATTATCAGACAATTTACCGGCGGATTGCTTCTTATGAGGACTCAGAAGATTTTAAGCAAGACCTGAGGTAAAGCCTTAAACTCGAGGGACATTCCTTGGCAAATATTTTGCCAGACAACTCTATGGTTATTTTATCTGAATTTGTATTGCCAAGCACTATTGTATGTGATGAAACAATGAAAGTGGACCTTTTTTCTGTACAATGTAAGACGACATTGTACATAGCGTTCGTGACATAACTGTGCAATGGAACATTTCATTTGCCCGTTAATGATAATTGTCTAATCTCTACATTGAAGGTTGCTGCTTGCTCCGGTTAAAGTTGGAGCTGAAGCTTTTGCTTGGGCTGCTGGCAAATTGGAAACGAATGGCCTCAGGCTGCCGACATCGCCTTCGTCCTCAGATGTGCAAAATCGGGTCCTACAGGCTGCTGCAAGGCATGAATCTCAGCCGTCCGATGATCCTGAAATCGAAAACCTTCCTGCAGAATCGCTCTCTGCCGCCAGCGAGAGTGCCAATCTCTCTGAAGCATGAAGGGGTCGATTTTCCTTGCGAAAAGTAATTCTCTTTATCAAAGATTTCGTAGCCTGTGAATGATTCGTGAAACTGAATACACTTAGAAGAGCGAAATGAAATACAATGTACTTAAAAAACCTTACCATGTAATATGATTAAAGTTGATGTATTTTTTTGTCCAATCTGATTATGCTTAGCCAAAGAAAGCACAAGGGAAAATTAATTTACTTTGGTAAATCATTTCCATCGCTTCCAAATATCATGGACCGATACATTACTTGGCGGATTGTATTATAGTTCTCTGTCTAGTTTATCCATCAGGGCATTCAGGTTGAAGAATGAAGATGGAAAAAGTAGAGAGAAATCCACAAGCAAAATACTCGAACAGTTTGGTTAGTGGCGTTCTAGTGCAGCACCACTCTACTGCTAGTCCAAGGACACAACGGTAATTTTACAGAAGCCGGCTCCAGTCGGAGCTGTAATTCGGCATACATGTTCGGTCTACCCATCTTCCCTCTCTCGGAAAAACCACATCCTCTCCTTTGGTTCTCCTCCACGAGCATACCCGTGCCCTAGTATCGCGAGTCCTTTGTGAGTGTCTTGATCCAGGCTTGTCCATGATGCGTCGTTGCGGCTTGAGTCAACCACGTGTCAACATAGTTCAAGGTACTTAGAATTTTCCTATTTTTCTCATTTTTCATAGTTTCTAAATGATTCGGCTACTTAAACTCTCATATCTCAATAGTCCTTGTTCATTGCTTGCACCGTTAATAAATACAATAGAGTAAAACATTTTCTCATGACCCGTTTGCATTCATTCTTTCTTACAAACGATCTAAAAAACCGTGCGCACACCTTAGCATCGGGGCGTTGCACACTTGAGTCGATCGGTACACTACTCGTGACCAAGGATAGTCTACATGCACGGTCCTTTGACCTGGACCGCGGCATCCAGCCTCTCTCGTTCACTCGCCATTAGATCAAGCCACAAGACAACGAGCTCCGACGTCGCTCCATCATAGGTAACGCGACCCCATCACCAACGCTACATACACATTTACTTTCTCTTTCACCGGGATCGCTTCTTCCTTACAAGGGTTGCGATATGGTTGTCTCCGGCGACGCCTCTGCTCCGGCCAGCACCTCCGTCGCAGGTGACGACAATTTTTAACCATTTTCGTGGACGGGGCCTTGGCAAAGAATCATAGGCCCAGTACAAAGTCGGGCCTGACCAGGCCCGGCCCATTGTTCAGCTCCTCTCTCTTAATCTGCGGTGTCTTGCCGTCGCCATTTTCATGAAGGCAGCTCGAAGTGGCGTCTCTCGAAACGAAGATCCTCTCTCTTCGGTCCTCGCCGGACCCTCTCGCCGGACCTCCGGAGCTGCTTCTGTACGCTCTCTCTCTCTCTCTCTCTGCGCGTGCTTGACGGCGTTCGTGTGTGCTGTGTGTTCTTGTTCGACTGAGGAGGCTGCGGGCTGTCCGTTTTCATTTGCTCTGCGTCGGTCGGATTCGCTTCGAGTTGTTTCTCGTTCATTTGTTCGTACCGAATAGGTTGTGTCCGTGGTCGGTAGTGCTAGGGTTCTTTGTTCCTCATTTGCAATTTTCGCCTCGATTTGATGTTTTTTCTCTCCTCAGTTTTATTAGGTCTGAGGTGGAACTGGTGTTCGATACGTATGTGTTCGTATTTCAGTCGACACTGGGAATCGTTGGCTTGGACATTGTAGCTGAGCCAGTAAGGCCTAAACCCCGTACATGATGTGGTTAGAACGAGATAGGCCAGTCACATGGTTTGATTATGTGCTTGGTTATGCTTGTTTCGTGTTCAATGGTTCGCTGAGGAAGATTGGACTTCGGCTATAACGTGTGGCCCAGTGAATCATCCATTCTACAAATGATGTAGGAGGTTTTATGCTTTTTCCTTGCCTCTCTGCTGCGTGGCTTCATTACCTACTTGAAAGGTGTCTCGCTTGGATAGGAAGAGAACCCTACCGAGAAATTCGGTTGCCAAGATTAGTTGAAGAAAGGAGCATGGAGAATTCTAGTGTGAAACACATACAAAAAGGGTGTCTCTTGAACTTCAAGATCTAGGAAAACAAGTATTGATATGTTGGGGATAAATTTATGCAAGTATGGAGAATCACAGATTTAAATAGAGTCCTTTACCCGTGTAAACCTACCTAGGAAAGCAAATCCAAAACTATCAGCACTTGAGAACTCATATGAAAGATGCAATATGACTGTAGAAGTAAATTTTTTTGTTCTTTAGAATGAAAGCTATAACCTTGCATCACGTCTACATGAACAGAAGCATGTCTGATTCTCTTGATGTCTGAATCTGATTTGGAATCATGAAATTCAGGTTTCAGGTCTTTTTGGATGAGCAATTATCTACTCGAGTGCAATAAACTTACATCTTGTTGACCAATAATTGTAAATTTTAAAAATGATCGGAAAACCCTGCTAGGATAGAATTTTTCATTGGCATTGCAAAAGAGTAACATGGCTCCTTAAAAAAGTGATGATGTCATCCTCAAGCATGCTCCGACGAGATCCGAGAATGCTATAGAAAATTGGTTGCTGCTTTGAGCTGTCTTTATGGATAGTGCTAAGATACTCCTAGCAAATTGTGACTGGCAGCAATGATGCTTGAAATTTCATCAATTGCTTTGCTTCAATGTAGCTATTTATTGAAGAGGCTTTTGGATGAAACCAGAAGTACCTAGTCTATACTAAGTTCCTCATATTCGTTTCATCCGTTAAGTTGTATTTACTATGAATTGCGATTTCATAATAAGAAAATTTACAACTCGTGTAAGTGAATAATTCGGGAGTCGTGGTTTTGATATGGTTTGTCTTTAGCTTTTCCCTGCTGCAACTCTTTACCATTTTGATTGAAGTGCTCTTTTCTTCCTGAAACTTTATGTCTTCTAGAATCTTAATTTGGCTGAAATTAAATCAACAAGCACTCTTTCTTCATATTTTCAGTCCTTTTGGTGCTTTTCAAAGACTAAAAGTGCAGATCCAAACTACCAAAGAATCTCCCTAATCTTAGCATTGTTTCTCAAATTTGTCCTTCAATATCTTTCTTTCACAGTATTTTGGTCCCATATGAATTAGTATTCTCTGCGTCTTTGTAATCATCTATTTGCATGCATCTACTGATCCCACACTGTCGTCGTACCAAGTATATGTCTTTTCCCCTTTTGAAGACCATCAATGAGCTGTAATATGTTTGAACAATTTTGGCTTAGGCTAATAGTTGTTTGGGTTTGGTGACATGGATCCTTTTTGTTCTTCTGTTAAGAAGTTCCTGTGAGTTAATTTACTTTGATTTTGTTGTCCATCTTCTCTCCTTCTATCCTTTCTTGCTTCTTATGAAGTCACTTTTCTCTTCTATGGTTAGGACTTTCTCCCTTGCTTGTTGGAAACCATCTTAGAGGATCCTTTTCCACTTGTTAGCAGTGAGTGGACTCGCCATCCTTTTTTTGCCCATGAGTTAGTTGATTTGACATCTTATCTGACCCCTCTTTTTATTTTTTTAATAAGAAATCCCCGTTAATGTCCTCACATCCTAGGTATTTAAGCACTTCTCTTCAGTATATTTGAACCAATTTCTTTTGGAAGCTCTTTCCTGTTTATAAATTTAATAATCTCTTAAATATTTGGTGCAGTAAAACTACTGTTAAACCTGGTAGCTTTGCTTGGTAGGCTATGCTTGTTGTTTTATTGGGTCAAAAGCAGGTGCATGTAAGTAATGGCAGATGCGTGATGTACAGGCCTGCTTGCTTTGCTATTGTTAAAGAAGTTTATCGAACCTGTTTACTATGTGTTTCTCTCATCTCGTACTAGTTCCCTCATTGATTGTCTTGATATTGCCTGTATGTAAATGGCAGATGCGTGATGTACGAGTTTGCTTGCTTAGCTATTGTTAAAGAAGTTTATCGAACCTGTTTACTATGTGTTTCTCTCATCACATGCTAATTCCCTCATTGATTGTCTCGATATTGGGGTGCAGAGAAGTTGAACTTTAATTTGGATTAGGCAACCAGGGGAAAATGCAAGTTGTTCCAAGAGAGGGTGAAAATGCTTTATCAGTGGCTGGTCCCAGACCAATGGAATGGTCTACCATTCCATACAGTGCTCCTCAAGGACCCATGCCAAATGGGAGGCAGAGAACGTCGAGCTTAGAATCACCTATCATGTTATTGACAGGTCACCCGAGCGCTATCTACACTATGAAGTTCAATCCTGCTGGGACAGTCATTGCATCTGGGTCTCACGACAGAGAAATTTTCTTATGGAACATGCATGGGGATTGCAAAAACTACATGGTCTTGAAAGGGCACAAAAATGCAATTCTGGATCTTCAGTGGACAACGGATGGCTCTCAGATAATATCAGCCAGTCCTGACAAAACCCTAAGAGCCTGGGATGTTGAAACGGGCAAACAAGTAAAAAAGATGGTAGAACATTCTTCATTTGTCAATTCATGCTGTCCTTCACGGAGAGGGCCTCCTCTTGTGGTGAGCGGATCTGATGACGGAACTGCTAAGCTTTGGGACATGCGTCAAAGAGGTGCCATCCAGACATTTCCAGATAAATACCAAATCACGGCGGTTTCTTTTTCTGATGCGTCGGATAAAATTTTCACTGGGGGAATAGACAATGATGTGAAGATATGGGACATACGTAAAGGTGAAGTCACCATGACCCTTCAAGGCCACCAAGATACAATAACAGGTATGCAGTTGAGTCCTGATGGCTCCTATCTCCTTACTAATGCCATGGACTGTAAGCTCTGCATTTGGGATATGCGACCCTATGCGCCGCAAAACCGTTGCGTGAAGATAATGGAAGGTCATCAACACAACTTCGAGAAGAACCTGCTTAAGTGCGGCTGGTCGCCCGACGGAAGCAAGGTCACCGCCGGCAGCGCGGACCGCATGGTCTACATCTGGGACACGACATCCCGGCGGATCCTGTACAAGCTCCCGGGCCACACGGGATGCGTGAACGAGACCGTGTTCCATCCGACCGAGCCCATCATCGGATCTTGCGGTAGCGATAAGCAGATATACCTCGGCGAGATCTGAGGGGCCCATGTAGTTTCGGAGCAAGTCTTCCTTAATTCGCGTGTGACAGAACTTCTCTAGAGAGAGCATTTGGTAGGAACTTTTTGAGGAGTAATTTGTTTGAGTTTGTAGTAAGTACATTTTACATATCCTGGATCTCAATGTGGTCCAACATCTCTCTGCCCCTTAATTTCATTTGACTTTTCCTTAAACAAAAGAGAATTAGAGTAACCCTTTTGGGTCCATGATTGGGACTTCTTTGGTAAGCTGGCTGGGTCCAGCCTCGGGCCCTCGGAGAACAACAAAAGGTGTAGAAGAGCTTAGCAGGTACACTGAAGCTGGACGGAATTTCTGGACGAGTTGAATTTTCATCGCGAAAGGGAAAGGCGCGTTTGTGGACCCAAATTTTCCAAAAAAGAATAAAGCAAATAATCCTTAAATTGCATTTTCGTTACTCTTCCTACTTGCCTAGTACATAATTGTTTTATGACGAGGGAGTCCACATTAAGTAGCTAAATCTCGAGACCATTGCGTATCGTACTGATCTTGCGGATCGAGAGAGATGCGAGGTGAAATTTGGAGAAATGGATCGTACGTAAAACTTTTTATACTTGATCACTTGAAGAATTTAATTGGTGGCATTATTTTATTATTAGGAATTGTGCTTATGGAATTAGATTCGTTAGCTTTGTCATTAGTGTCTTTTGAATTGGTATGCAATCTTATGCTAGGAATCGAGAAAGGACAGGACTCATGGGAGTTTAAATTGATGATTCCAAATTGAATTGTCCGATGATTTCCAATTAGATTTAAAGAAACGTGGAATTCTTTCAAATTAGCACAATTCATTGATTTGGGTTGATAATCAACGGGATCTTGTTTCCAACTCGAGTTGGATTTCGACTCTTAAGTAAACTATTCAAGCTATGTGCATATCGGGTCGAAGACAAAATTATGCAAGATAATTTTGAGATTAGGACGTAATTCACGGCCCTAAAATCCTCGAGATGTCATTCCTATTATGATCGGAATTTTTAATTTAATCAATGACAAAAGCTAACTCATATACCAAAATCGGAACGAACAAATAATATCGATAAATAATAAGCGAGAAATCGCCAATTTTTAGAGCTTTTATTGAAATGAGGAAAGAATCTCAATTGTCAGTACGAGATTCCAATTCCATCGAATTTATAAAAAGAAAAACAAAAAAGAGAATAACAAAATGTTTAGTTTTAATTAGGTACACAGCATTTTTTTTTTGGGCAAAAAATTGGGAAAAGAAGATCGGTCAACGACATTATTGACGTCATCGTCGTCAAGATCGTTAAAACATGGAGAGAAAAAAGTACATTCACTGCGTGCCCCCTCCACTGAAGAAGGCGGCCAAAATCCTCTCCGTGTGAACACCTCCATCGGCGAAAATGGCAGCTCCTTCGTCTCTGGCGATCAATTCCTTGACCACTCCTCCTTCCTCTTCGCCTGCGGTGTGCTCTTCCAGGTGCGAGCTCCCCGTCTCCCAATCCGGAACCTTGAAGCTGCGCCGGAGCGGGCTCCCCGCTTCCCGGAGGCTGAAGAGGTCGGTCGGCAACTTCTCGACTTCTTCTTCCTCGGGATTCGCTGTGGCGTGTAAGGCGGTTTCGGTGAAGCCACAGACGGAGATTGAGGGCCTGAACATTGCCGAGGATGTTACTCAGGTACCCACAAGTCGACAGCGCGGTCACCCGCAACTTCTTTTTGTTTTTGTTTTTAGTTTTTGTGGAATGAGATGGTGGAGTCGTGTCGTTTCGATCGCCCGATGCGCGTTGTTTGGAGATTTGCTCTGCGATTCCAGCTTGTCGTTCTCGGCGGAAGTGCGTTGGGAGGGAGGGTGAGTGTTGAGTGATACGGCGTGGCTGTGGAGAACTGTGAGGTCAAGTATCACGCGATGTTGGATTTTCGGAGAGTCTCCGTTTTACCGTAGTGATGAAGTGGAGGAAAATTGCTGAGGCTTTATGTTTTGCAAGTAATCCGGTAGATTGCAGTGTTGGGCATTAGACTGCTTAGGATCGTATTGTGGAGTTCTTCTGTATCTGTTGAATTAGGAGAGGTGGAAGTAATTGCAAATGAATGTTGTGAGATGGAGTAATTTATCGTTGTTCTGGGAAGATTCTGCTCAGCGCTTTCCTCACTGCACAGATGTGTGTCTCCTTTAAAGTGTATTACGCGTAAATTTGCGCTTGATCAATCGGTAGCGGGCTGGAGATTATTACACTCTTTCTTTCTTGGTTGCTACACTCAAATTGGGAGGATAGTGGAAATCATCCGTTGTTTGTTAGAATTGGCATGGTACATGAATTTTTCCGTGCATTTTAATCTAAGCCTAATGGATATTGGAAGGAAGTGGAGCTCTTGGGGGAGTTTTTTGTTCTTTTCTGTATTTTATATCTTTGCTGTCTGCTTCAATGATAATTTTTTTTTATCTTTTTCATAATTTCAAGTTCTTTATCTTTCTCTGTTTGGTTAAGACTTTAGAAGATTCTACTCTTACTCCATCTCTATCGCTCGTGTTTGTACGATAAATAAATTCGTCTTTTCAAATGACTTTGCTTGACTGGTTGGCTCGTGGCGCAGCTCATTGGCAGAACACCAATGGTTTACTTGAATAATATGGTTAAGGGATGTGTTGCCAATATAGCTGCCAAGCTCGAGATCATGGAACCCTGTTGCAGTGTTAAGGACAGGTACGGGATCTGAACTTGCTTCTCTAGCGTGTTTGTTTAAAAAAGCCTTCAAGAACAGGGTGATTCCAATATAGAGAATCTATTACCGATATTTTCTGTGTATTTGCCACTCCATATGGCACAATAGGAAGAGGCATTATTTGTTAACTTTCTTGTTTTTACTGTTCTACCTTATTGCGCTGGACCATCTAACGCCCATATAATTTACACCCAAATGTGTTTTCTGTATTTGACATGTATCTTTTCTATGTGGAAAAACTTCAGCAATTGACTGCTAAAATCATTGGATTTCTGGTGTCTGTTTTCAGGATTGGTTACAGTATGATTGCTGATGCTGAGCGAAAAGGGCTCATTACACCTGGAAAGGTAACGGATGGCATATGCAACTTAGTCATGTGCCCACTTGTTAGAGAAGCAATATTGATGTTTATCATTCACTTAGGAATATTATTTTCAAAAGGAAGCTTGGCCTTGATTGATGAACTAACTGACTTTGCTTTCAAGCATTTTTTTTGGCATATATTTCCCTGTTACGGAAAGGTCCGGATTCAGTTTTAGCTATTTGCTTGAAACTCCTGCTATCAAATAGTTTAAAAGCTTGGTGATGGCCTGCTTTGCAGTGATGGTGTCTTTCTATGAAAGTCCACTCCATACTTGCCATATTTGTAACTCACCTTTTTTTTTCAAAGACAATCTAGCAGCTGGTCTGATGTTTTAGATAGGGTCATCACACATTTTATTTTCTCCCGTAGGAATACATTTGGTCTGTCGTGTTGCCAAGATAGGAACGAACCATAAATTTGCTATTTTGTTGTGCTAAATATTCCCTATTTATCTTGTCAAACACTTTGTGTTCCTCTTTTGCTCAGAGTATTCTAGTAGAACCAACCAGTGGGAACACAGGCATTGGTCTGGCATTTATAGCTGCTTCAAAAGGATATAAACTGATTTTGACAATGCCTGCATCAATGAGTATGGAACGAAGGGTTCTGTTGAAAGCATTTGGAGCTGAACTTGTTTTAACTGATGCGGCTAAGGGAATGAAAGGTGCTGTTCAAAAAGCTGAAGAGATATTGAATAGCACGCCCGGTGCCTACATGCTTCAACAGTTTGACAACCCTGCAAATCCAAAGGTATGTTTGGCTTGCTGCTTTTTCTTGTTAGACCTCAATTTATGTTTGTCTTATCTTTCTAAATAAATAGGCCTCATCATGGGCCTGGGTGCCCACCAAGCCCTCTAATTTTGAAGCACAATTTGGGCAAGCAGTTTCCCTCCTAAGCTGGGGCAAGCCCATTCACGTCCATTAAGGCCCAATAATTTTCTGAAGTAAAATTGTTTTTTCTCATTATGGGTAAGCCTGGGTGAGGATTTTTCTTTTACCCAACCCACGCCCACCTATGCGCCCTTTTATCAAATCCTAAATCTAGGTGGGAATATTTTCGATAAAAAATAGGGAAGTTTTAATGAAAAATTCACCTGGTATGCAAACTAAATTCGACCAAACAACTCAACCATAACTCAGTAAATAAGTCTAATCATGACTGTGAGAGCAATCTCCCTCCCTGTTCCGTTTCAAGGAACTTCTCATTTGCGTCAGATTCGCGTCTAATCCAGGCAACTTCTCTCTAGATCAACAGAGAATTTCTTGTCAAAAACTGAAGCTCAAAGTGCTGTGACCAACAAGGAACTTTAGTTGGATGTTTTGAGCAATTGATCTAGGCATCAGAAAAATTGCAGTGTCCCTGATGTGATGCCTCCAATGTGAAAATTTAAGGGGGACAGAAATCAGTGCCCATGAGAATCAGCAAGGCGCAAATTGAGAGTTTCATTCATTTTGGTGGTTTGGCCATGGTGAATTGGTTGATGATGAGTGCATGTCGTAGTGGTGACTAGTGTTCGAAATATTGTGGTCCAGTTTCCATCTTTGGGAGGAAGTGTAATGACTGAGAGAGATTACCTTTTGCTGATCGTAAAATGTCGTTGCATTGAAGTGTAGGAACTAATTGGAATGTATATATATTTTTTTTTTTTGCTTCTATTCTCAATATAATCCCCTGTTTGCTAAGCATTTTATTCTATGAAGGTAATTGCCAAATAAGTGAATTTTTCTGCACCTTTTTAACTGAGCATGTATTCTGTTGGCTTTTTCCTGAAACGAATAGAGGAGCATCTAGCTCATTATATTTCTGTTAGTGTCATGTGGTTGAGAATGCATAAATTTATTTTTTCTGCTATTCTGGTTGTGGGAGCGATTTCCTGCAGATACACTATGAGACAACTGGTCCCGAGATCTGGGAAGACACAAGAGGCAAGGTGGACATTTTTATTGCTGGTATTGGTACAGGAGGAACCATAACCGGGGTTGGACGGTTCCTTAAACAAAAAAATCCCAAAATAAAGGTGATAATTTTTAAGCAGAGCACTTACCCTACCTAACGCCATGTGTAAATTACTTTTCATTTCCTTATCCATAACCATTAGCATGCTATCGTGTAAATTCGACATACAATTTACATTAACTTACATGAGAAAGCTGTGGATTTCAGACGATTTTTCTCATTGATTTTCTTTACTGCTCTGCATTTGGCTCTGTTTGTGGCAGGTAATAGGAGTGGAACCTTTAGAAAGCAACATTCTATCTGGTGGCAAGCCTGGTAAAAATTCTTCAGCAAATAGAGATAATTGGACCACTTTAATGAAACTTATCGTCAACGTTCTAAGACTACTATATTTTTTCTTTTACGCAGGTCCTCACAAAATTCAGGGGATTGGAGCTGGTTTTGTGCCAAAAAATCTGGATCAAGAATTGGTTGATGAAGTCATTGAGGTGCGAGCCTTACCAGTTTTGTTATGCCTCTGGACAGGATCCATTATTTGCATGTGCATGTTTGCATAAGAGGTTATGTGGTCAACATAAACCTTTGATGGAGTTGTAGCTATTTGGTGACCATGATTATGGACCGTTTTCTTGATCCTTACGCCCTGCTTAACAGTGTTTCTGCATTTATTCAATTCAGATGACATGTTAATTAAGTCTCTCGTTAAAACTTGTGAGTTCGTAACTTTAACCACATCAATCTCACAAACTGACAGTCTAATTAGGATTGATAGCTCCCCTCGCAAACTGCTATTACGTCCTTTGGATTTCTGAAATTGAGGATACAAATATAAACCTAGTTGTATTGGCTTATTCTAGAGAAGAATATTTTACTTTCTTACATGGACTTGTGATTGTAGATATAGCTTGCACACGTAGTGCTTACTTTATTTTACTAATTGTTTTTAAGGCAGCATTTTTCTTTGTATTTTCAAAAAAGAACTCACATTCCCATTTAACATTGTGAGTGGCTCCAAAGCTATCTTCCAAGTGTAGTCTGGCCTGAATAAGCAAACTGGCGGAGCCTGCACCTTTTTATGTCATTTTCTCGACAAGTGGATTTATTTTCCGCATTTCTAGGCTATGATCTAATTTACTACCATGATGTAGTGGTGAAGCCGGATCCATTTAGATTAACATGTATACATTTGGATTTTGTTGCAGTAGTGGGATAAAAAGTGTATGATGTAAAAGTTAATTCTGACTTTTTCTGGGCAGATATCCAGTGATGAAGCTGTTGAGACTGCAAAGCAAGTAGCTCTTCAGGAAGGCTTATTGGTCAGTGCTCTGTGATTTTTTATTGTCTGAATTAGATGTATGCACTAGTAAAGTGTCATTTGTTATAAGCGAACATTTCTGGCTAGTGCAGTCTAAAGTTATCTGCTGTATGTTAACGGTGAACTTGACTTCTGCATATGGAATTCAATGGACACACTTAGCACAGAAAGTTCATAATGACATGCAGCCACAGTTGATACGTTAGTTTAAGTTCTGGAGACTGAACAATGGGATTGACAATGCCGTTACTATGGTTTATGAATATTTGGGTATAGTTTGGTTGTAATGTCATCTTTCAAATTCATGTACCTTTCATGTTTCAGCGTGTATTTTGATGATTTGAACATCTTCTTCTCCTATTGATGACTTTTAGCATTTGGATGCTTTGTGTCCTATTTTCATTTAGCATTGGAAAAATAAATTGATGGTTAGGTTAGGTTCGAAGCTTTACATCCTATGCTTTTACACATCTTTCCCTTTAAACGTTTGAGTTGCATCTCTCCAATTGGAGCTAATTATTTCAGGTGCTCTAAAGCCTGTGTGTAATTTATCATTTTTTACTCTGATATGTAACCAGGTTGGCATTTCTTCTGGGGCTGCCGCTGCCGCTGCAATGATGGTTGCAAAGAGACCAGAAAATGCCGGCAAACTCATTGCAGTACGTCTCTTTTGAATGAGACTTGCTTCTCGACATTGGTTATGGATTTAACATGTTGAAGAATTCTGTCATTATGGAGATGGTTGTCGTCAGAATGGATTTAGCAACTGTAACTAACGAAAGCTTAATGAGTAGTTATGAAATGTTCTTTGGTAGATGTTTATCTGAATCACAGTTCATAGGTGATCAAGACTCTAACCATCTTTTGTTTTTAGGTAGTTAAGTTGGATTAGCTGTTGCCCGTCCTTTGAAAGTGATTAACGTTCTGACGTGTTAACTAGTTATGGCCATCACTTATGGACATTAAGCATCCTCAATTTCTTTCTTTTAACCCTTTTTTTTTTTTGGTCGATTGCTTTTAACCCTTTGCAATGTGTCTTTTCCTCCCTTGCAGAGGGACAGCTAAAGAAGACCTCATGTTGAGAAAATCTTGGTTTTGCTCAATACTCTTTAACAATTTCAATTTTTCCTCCAAAGCTTGCCATTGTTGATTGAAAATCTATGCAAAACCTCCTTTTTGAATGCCATAACAGGCAGGACTCAAGCCAGTACCTTGTCTCTACTTGGAGCATTCATTCTGGTTTCTTAGGCTTATATTAAAGCTGATTGGTGTTTACTTTAGCATTGGAGCTCCCTGCTGGGTTTTACACCGGAAATGTAACAAGATAGGGAGCTATGAAAGCGTGCTAAATATACAATATTACTTTCTCTTAATTTGTTCACCTCACTGTTTATGCTTTTCATACCTATTACTTAATGCGTTCGTATATGTCAACATTTGCAGGTTGTGTTCCCCAGCTTCGGTGAACGATACCTCTCCTCTGTTCTTTTCCAGTCAATCCGAGAAGAGTGCGAGAAGATGCAGCCTGAACCATGAAAATTCCGTGAATGATTTATGGAGATTAGAGAGCAGCATTGCCTGCTGATATACTCTAGTGTATACATATACATCTTGCCTTTCACCATCCTTCTCTCGTTACTCGTTCTACCATTTGGATTCTATGTGGTCTGCTCTCTTGTATTTGCGATTGACCGCGACAATCTTGTACTTTTGTAATTGAGGGCTTTAAGGCCAAAAGCTTGTTTGCTTTTGCCGGCCGGCAGAACTTTTTCACTCAATTACAGCCCCAAGCTAGCCGAGCTTCCGTTTCTTTCTTGAAAGCTGTCATCTGACCACTGTCTATCCAATTTCTCTGTCGAAATGCTGCCTATTTGGCAACTGATGTGGCGCCGAAATGTCCTTTTCCCTTACATGAATTTGGGTCCATCCCCCAACCGCCAATGACGGTTGGCCCAAGTGCCTGAGGTACCGGACATGCCCCGGACATGCCCGTCAAATGTCAATGTAGATCAACCAATTCAGAGAGAGAATATTCAGATCGATAACCAAAACATATTGATTCTAAATATCTAGCTACCTTGTTTTATCGAGTAAAATTTTGTCACTTTTTACATTTGACATGAAAAAAGAAATTGTACGTTTAAATGTTAGACTAGATGATATGGAGACAAAGTATACCACACGATGTAATTGAATTAAGGGATAAGTGCACTAGAAATTCTAAAACTCATCATAAAAGTTCAATTGAGTTTTAAAACTTTCAAAAAGTGCAATCGTGTCATAAAACTTATTACGAAAGTATAATTGTATCCTCAAAATTTTCAAAAAGCACAATCAAGTCCTAAAACTTGTCAATTATGTGCAATTCAGTTCTACAACTTATTAAAATTTTTAGTTTGTCAAGTTGAACAGCGATAATGAACCCAGAAAATGCATTTTCGAAGATGGTAAGAATCTCTTGCAATCCGTCACTAAAGACACCACAAAGGCACACACGGGATAGGGATAGGGATATTGGGCCCGCTCCAAAGTCTATGGATTCACCTGCAAACTCCCAAGAAGAAAAAAAAAGAAAAAAAACTTTAACTCCGAGTCTCGAGGGCAAATCAATCATTTCAATAGGAAATTAGGGTTTATCGCCTCCCCCGCCCGCCTATATATACCACCGCTCGCTTCCCCTTAGTCGTCATCACCTCAGGGAATAGCTCTTCGCAGGCGCAGCGCTTGCCTCAGGCTCGTTCTTCTCCATCGTCTCTCTCTCTGTTATGGTGTTTCGGCGAATCTATCGTGTCTGTTCGATCGTCTTCTTTAAGCTTTACCTTTTCAACTCTTCTTTAGTTTTCTTTTCTTTCGATCCCTCAAATATGTGAAATTCTGCGATGGGAGAGAAAGCCAATTTGCAGAGCAAGGGCGTCGATTTTACGAAACGATGGCGCGAATTGCATTGAAGGTTGGCGATATCATAAATCCGCGATTCTCCGTGCCTATCAAATCTCTTTTCGGTTTTGATGATGGCCTCGAACAAGTCGCTACATTTTTTCCTCCCCTCTTCGTTTTCTCTCTCCATTTCTTTGCTTTTTTTGTTTTCTCATCTTGTTTGGTCAATCGGAACCGGTTCAGAAGCCTATTTTTTGGGTTAAATTTCAAAGCTTGTAAACGTTTTTTGTGTTGAAAAGTTCTGACGATGAAATTTGGAATGTGAAATAGTGGAATTAAATGTGAAGTGCGAGAAGGAATCACTTGGAAATCTTTGGACAAAAAAACTAGATTTGACGTGGGAACATAGCAAAAATCATGCTTTATCTTAGGTTGGTTGGAAGGATGCCAGTTCCTTTTCACTTCCCGACCAACCTATTCAAATTTCACATATTTCTGTAGCAACTTTAGGGAAAGATCGAGAGAGATGTAGAAGGAATATTGAAAAAGTTCTAATTTATCTTCGAATCGACCATCTGCGTTGGTTGAGTTTTTCCACTGGCCATCATAGTTTTTTTGGTGAATATGGTCGGATTAGATGTTGGAAGAAGAAAGCGCGAAACTATAGCGGGCTTGAAAGACGATCAAGAGTCTGTGTGAAGGATGGGGAAAACTTTGAGCAGTTCCATGTTCGATCCGAATTTCATCCCTTGAACCTTACATAGCCTTCACCAGAGTTCAATCAAAAGACGTATCTTGAACTTGGAAGAAGATTTTGGGTAAATTCATCAGCCGATGCGATTAAGGGCGGCGATTAACTAGAACCTCATATTATAAATTCATCATGATTGAAGTGGTCTAGATCAAAGCATCATAAAGCAAAGATGTATGAGATAATATTGATGCTATTTTACTTCGAAGGGTTGTTTCGGCTTGTGAAACTCATGAAGACTAAGACCCAACACCCCCTCTTATGACAAACCCCTTAAGAAAGGGAGAATTGGGATTACGGGTTGGATGTTGTTGGATGTCTAATTTCATTACTGAGAAAGAGGATATGGGAAAGAGGATCGAAACATGCCACTAAAGGACCATGAAGGACCCTACTGAGACAAAAATACTATCAAGAACAAAGATACATGCCACTGAAGGATGACAGATCTTGTTTTACCCTGACATCTCCCATCACAGCTCGATAGTGTTGGTAGAGTTCACAATATACCAAAGGCAAATCTCTGACATGTAGCAGTAGCCGGGGCTCGTTGCAAGATTAACCCCCGGTATCTTCAGCTTACCGGCAAAAAAATTTTCACATCACAAGTACAAAAATCTCGGAAGTTCCCGTTATTAAATTTTATCATATGATCAAAATCGGCACAGATTGATCTGTTACGCACACGACTAAATGGAATTTCCTGAAGAAAAGAGAACATAACACAACATGATATCGAAAACTACAGCTGCCGGCACAGCTAAATTATCTCTCTTACCTACGAGAGAAATATGACCGTTTCTACATCTAGCACGGTGCTCCCAGACTTCTCCCAAAATGGCTTGCGGTGATTGTGACGACGCATGACACTCCAACAGGTTCTGTTTATAATTCTATAATGACGAGATCGGAAGAGAGCGAAACTGGAACTTGTGGCGGTCACATGCCCACTCTAGAGCTTCAGTTTTCTATCAAAAATCCAGCTGAACGGAACGATCGAACCTTCCTTTGCCCTTCCCTGAGCTCTCTCTTCCAGTCTTCTAATTCTTGGAGGCAGAGTGCAGACATATTCTTGGGCTTTCCGTCCCTCCGCAGAAAGCCCAGTTAGCTCCTCCACCTTCCATCTGCCCACCAAGAACTCCAAAATATCGGCATAATCTTTTGCCGTATAAACTCCAAGCCGTTGTGCAACAGCCGAAAAGTGCTCAAAAAGATTGTCGTCACGACCATCGAACATCAAATGGGCCGGCATAGAAATCTTCTTCCTCATCATGTCGGCAAAAGCGGAGACGGTTCCATTTGGATCGATGTCAAACAGCTTTTCCACTATCTTGGTGTAGGCAGTCTCATGGCGCTTCTCATCAGAGGCAATCGTTCCACATATTTGAGCCAATTTCACGTCCCCATGCTCCTTGGCAAGCCTCGCAGTGTTCCCATGAGAAATAAACGTTGCCCTTTCTTGGAACGAAGTATAGATAAAGCCAAGATAAGGATTGTTCTCTGTTCTAGGATCCTATAATTCATGGTAAAAAGATATTGTTATAAAATTTTCAGGTGAAATTACAAGTATATATGAAGAAAGTACTAGAAACAGTAACTCCTACTAATAAAGAGTCGGAATTGAATCCACAGAAACCCACAGCAGTGCATGGCTGAAGTGTGCAGCACGGGCATGGTCTAACGGGGAAGGACAGATATGGGGCGGTCTATGCCATTAAAGAATAAAAGGGACTGCCCTTGGATTTGGGAGACTGAAAGTGTTTTGTGTACAAACCTAAAACACTTGAAAGGAAACGGTCCGACACGTCTAGTAATAATCAATAACCGTGTCATACCAGCCTAAATGCTAGGATCCCGTGACTAGAGACATCTAATGCACATCGACACAATCTAGCAATACTCACATGATGGTATTTCATCTAGCACTGTATTGTGGAACATTTTCTAACCAGTTACAGATGCATTTAGCATAGTGCCTTTCCACTGCACATCAGACTCTGAATCTAATGAACATGAATGCTTGATTAGGGGCGTTGGTACTAAGCACAGGCAAGCAGTTGCAAATAATTTCGGAATTCTCAACTTAACAAAATCATTATCAAGATGAGTCTCGAATTATGTAATTAGGATCTCACCATTCCTGACCCGATCAAATACTGGATTGTCTTCTCGATTTGCCTCATGTCTACTCGTCCGGATAGGTAAAGGTACTTGTTAAGGAGATCTCCGTGTCTGTTTTCCTCGGCAGTCCATGCCCTTGTCCAAATCGCCCAAGGCGTAAGGCTTGCACCTGTTTCATCTCTAACCCCATCCAAAGTATTAAGCATTGTCTGGTAAGTAGGAAGGGCTTCTTCGGTGACCATATCTCCAACCAAAACCACAAAATAATCGTCAGGAATTTCCTTTGCCCTCTCCCTCAGTTCCCTTACTTGTTCTTCAAATCCATCAGAGGCGGGATCTGGTAGAAAATCCTGTGCCTGCCAACACTTCTCAACTGGTTTCAGGTGAACCAAGATGTTTTTGTCAGCCCAATCCTCCATTGACTTAAATATTTCAATCTTTTGGGGTGGCAGGGAATGTGTTACTTGAACATGCACTTCCCTAGGAGGCATAAATGGCTTCTTGCTATTTTCCACCTCCCTACCACAAAAAACAACATGCATTCTGTTTTAAATAATCCAAATCAAATCAATGTATAATCTCATGATAACCAGACAAGGAAAGCATTCATTTATTGTAGGCTCTAGCATGTTAGCGTCACGCATAACATACGGTGTGAAGTTCTTGGTTTACTACAAGTCAGTTTTTGCTACAGCTGCATCATTTTTGGAGATGAGACCGATGGAGGAAGTTTCTCTCTGCTGATGATATTGCATGTTGTGTTGTATATGTCATATTAGTTCAATCAGTACTCAAAGGGGCTTGAAAGGGAAACTCAAACTGAGCAGCAAAGAGCTTTATGTTTCTTGGGTTTAAATATGATGGACTGAATTGGCAATAGAAATTTTACTTGCTTATTGAAATAGTTCTTGGTTTGTTGGTATTCAATAAGTAAGAGTACAGAGACAAAAAGAAGCTCAGCCTATTTGGTGAATCATGTTACAGTAGCTATCATACCGACCAAACCAAGCAAAAGGAAAAGAAAAGCATATTAATCAAGCAACAGAGTTCATCTAGGGTATAGAGTGCATACTGCCACAAAAAGAAAAGGTTGAATGGAAAACACAACCAGATTTTCATTGCGACATAACACTTCCTCCAAGCGCAAGCCAAGAGAGTAAGGTCAAAGATGCACGATCTTGGATACGATAGATGAATAAGAAACATAAATCCAAGGACCAACATTTTGTGTGACAAAGTGACGTTCCATAAAATAATATACTTTGAGAGGAAGAACTCCAGATGGACCTCATGAAGGTCGATACAAAAATTTCAAAAGCCCTCAGTAAACAATAGTAAATTTACATGTAATGTTTTTGTGAACAGTTCAAGCGATCAATATCCAACAACGAGCCCATCTGTCAACTTAGGTGGGCTCCTGCTATGCGGCATCAAGCAAAATGTTCGTGCATCAGTAAAATGTCAATGAGAACAAACAAGAAATAAGAACAAAGCCTCACTATCTAGCTGATAGTCACTTTAAGGCAACCATAACTCAAAGCGTTCAATTTGTTTCAGCATACGTCCTATTGGATATTGAAGGAAAAAAGACCTCAACATGACTAGGATCTGAAGGTGACTAGAAGTCAAATGTACACCAGCTAAAAAAAACACGAAAAGGACTTAATAAGAAGAGAACCAATCTAGAAAAGTACGAGCTACTTTCACCAACTGGAACAGTATGCTTTAGAAAAGACTAGATTACTTTGTGATACAAGTTTGGCCAAAGAAAAAATAGAAAAAAGAACGTCACATTGACAAGAACGGCAGCAACTTGTATAGACTTTCACGTGATGCGGACCAAGTAAAGGGACAATGAATATAACACAAGCCTCATTGTCCATTGAACAAGTCCAAACAGCTGGATTACTTGTCTTGGCATGGGAACAAAAATTTTGTCGGTAGGTTCTAAACTCTGAAGGAGTCATTGGCAAAATCATTAGCACAAAGAAACAACAGATGGAAGTCCATGCACCCATTCTGCAAATCAAACGATCTTTGATAAAAACACCAGAAAATAATACTAATGAGTCATCCTTCATGCAAAAGAAAATCTAGACCAGTGTCATCTAACAGTATCTTTTTGAGCGATATGAAACAGGAAGCATCAAACAAAATAGATGAAATATCGTAAGCTTGTGATAAATATCCCACCTACCCCCACCAAAGACCAACTGGATACGACAAACCAGGCATGCATCTTTATTCACGATTCATACATAGTAAAGACGGTTTCTTTCGTCAAAGCTGAGTCATCCCCGACCACAAATTTGAGAGAAAGAAAACATCTGAAAAAAGATAAATTCTTTCTGCGTCGATTCAAATGATTCTACCTTGGCCGAGGATATTGACGAGAAAAGCAAAATCGGGCTAACACGCTGCACTAATTTCATCTCTCTCTCTCTCTGATCTTTCCTTTTGTCCGGTTGAGAAGCAGAACAGCCAACGCTATTAAGATGATACGTTTGCGTGGTGCCAAAATTAAATGAGGGGGACTTGAATTGCATTGCGAAGCTATTGACACCACGCAATTCCCCTTACAAAATCATGCAACATTTCGATCAGACGAGGGAAGGACGTCCAGAACATCATCAACCCATTCGAGACTCCAAACGCCTCATCAAATTCAGACAAGACATCGACACTCGCAATTCAACATCGAATACGAAAATCCACACGCGCGCGCGCGCGCGCTGATTTGCTGAGCTCGGACGCGGAAATGAAAGTGCCGGCGAGAAAAGCCATTCCGATTGCCAAGAAAACAGGGGAGGTCACACCTCGGAGAAGCGCAAAGACGTCATTCTCGCAAACCAAATGGAAACGGGCGGATCCCGAGGCGGAACGGGGCTCGAGAACGAAGGACGGACCTGGAATCGGAGCGGAGAGTGGAGGCCATGAAGAACCTGGGAGATCTGAGGCCGACGTTGGCCACCGGAGGCATTGCGAACGACGCCAGCTTCCGCGACGGCGACGCCGCGGCCGCCGCGACGTGAGGATTCAGCTTCAGAGCCATTGCCTGTATCGCCGGTCCCCCCTCGCTTCCGATCCTCCTCCTTCCTCCTCCCTCCTTCCTCCGCCGCCTAGCTCGTCGTCTTCCCTCTCGGGCGGCCCTTCGCAGTCGTCCCTCCTCGCGCTTCGGCTTCGGTTTCTCCGACGGAGAGAGAGAGATGGAGAGAGATGGAGAGGGAGACAGACAGGCAGTGGCGCACTCCTTTAATGTTGGTCGCACAACGTTTGGCGGTGGCGACAAAAGCAGATGGGGGAGGGAAAATTGCCCTTTTCCGTGGCGTGGCGCCGATATTACGAGGTTGCCACCGTGATCTTGATTATGGCGGTTTTAGTGCCCTAATCTCGCGTTGCATGTGTCGGTTTTGAGCCATCGGCGTGCGATAAACAAAGTATCACGCCAACATATAAATAATCGATCGATACAATGATGACGGCGATACCGAGGATACAAGGTCGTGCGGCTGCAAAGGATATTTGCTTCGGTCACGGGAAAGATGATACCATCAGTCACTGAACTTTTGGGCCAACGTGCAATTTCATCCCACGGCTTTTAATTTATTTAATGTCGTCCTTAGACTTTTTAATTTGTTCCGTGTGATCATTAAATTTTTAGTACATATTCAATTCAGTACCCGAACTATATGAAAATGTTGAATGCTGTCGCTGAATTTGAATTAATGGAAAGATAACATTAGATATTTTCATATGATTCAGGGACTAGATTGAATGGACCATATTAAATAAATTAAAAAGTTCAAGAACCATATTGAACAAATCAAAAGTTGAGAGACGACATCACACATTGGACCAAAATGCATGAACTACTTATGTAACTATCCCTTTATATATAGGTAAAAGGGCAGTGATCGGCGACCGATGCAACTGCCCCTCGGAACATTATCATGGAATTTTTACATGTTCCGTTTAAGTCATAACTACCCAGGTCCGCCCATGAGTGTACGAGTCTCTCATCGTAGCTCTATTAGTGTCTCGGGTAGTTAGGAAATCTCTCCACATGAAATAGGAAATTGCCCCGAGGCTTGTCTAGAGATCCCGCTCATGACGAGCCATGAATAAAGAGGCTCGGCAGTGGAATCTTGTGTTTAGAAACGACGTCGCCACAAGATAATCCGAATGAAATGGCAAATTTTAAAAAGTGGGTTTGGTGAGAAATATTTTGGACAACTGTTAAATTATGTCTTCGTTTTTTTAATCATGTTAATTTCGACTAAATAATAATATAAGATATTCGGGAGCTTGGGTGTCATATCATATGACTCATATGTCAATCGATACTTTGGCGTGATCTCGAAGGCATTAAATTGCGAGAAAAAGTGGAGTGGTCCTTTTGAGAGAGAAAATGTTGTCCTCGAGATCCCCTCCTAAAAGGGTAGCATAGAAAAGGCGCTCGTACGCCGTTGCTGTTTGGATAGGTGGACAAGTACACGCCTAAACTCATTGCCAAACAAGGGGGGGGGGGTGGAGTTTCCCCCTACTTGGCACCCTCCCTTCCTTGCATGCATGCCACTCAATCTCTCCCCCGCTTTCTCCTCCCTCCCTCTTCTCGGGGCCGCCGATCACATGTCAAGAAACGGTGGAGACCCGCTCCGATGTCTAGTCCCACCATAAATCGCGACCTTTTTCAATGAATTTTTTTTAGAAGTGAGCCATTCCGGATTCCATACAGGTTCCACCGGGTATCTACACCCTATCCATGGGAACATGTTCCTCATTTTTTGAAACTTGAAACCTATCCTGTCACAAGTTCTATGGTCGGTTCCAAGGTCTATCCAGATTCTATCTGTATTATTAATTGAACAATTACAGTGAATCATCATATTTAAAGATCACCACTTGCTGCTACGATCCACTGATTACAACTTATATTTAGAAACATGAAGAATATGAAACATTAACAAGTCAAAAAATGAAAGCTCAAATTAGTGGTTTTAGATTATACACTCATCTTCTAACGCCATGGAACACAAAAGGATCACGCGAAGATATAGACAAAAAAAAAATACAAAAAACTTGTTTAAGGTTTCAGGTTTCAAACCTAGAACTTGGAACTTACCCATTGAAACAGGTGAAACCTAGAACTTACCCTGCATACCTTGGAATCTGTAACCTACAAGTTCCTATTTTAGATTCTACCATGAAATTATGCTTACCTCTAATTTTTTTTACTATAATTGGCTCTGTCAGTCTCTATTACTGAGATATATTTTTATCATACAATAGTATAAATTAAACTGTGGAGAATTGGTGATTGAAAGGTAACAATAAGGCGATTCCTTCTATTAAAAATGCGGGAATAAGTGCATTGGAAGTACTAAAACTTGTCATAAAAGTGCAATTAAGTCCCAAAACTTTCAAAAAGTGCAATTAAGTCCTAAAACTGGCCACAAAGTGCAATTGAGTCTTAAAACTTTAAAAAAGTGCAATCAAGTCTTAAAACTTGTTAAGTTAGTCCAATTAAGTTCTTCTTTTGATTACACTTTTTAAAATTTTTAGGACTCAATTGCACTTTCACAACAAGTTTTATGATTCAATTGCACTTTTTGAAAGTTTTAGGACTTGATTGCACTTTCATGACAAATTTTAGGACTTGATTGCATTTTTTGAAAATTTTAGAACTCAATTGTACTTTCGTGATAAGTTTTAGGACTTCTAACACCCTTATCCCTAAAAATGCTTGCCATATGAAAATTCAGATCTTTGTCATTGTATAATTATTTCATAAATAGTTTCAAAAATTAAGAAAATGAAAAAAAAATCAAATAGTTTTCAGGTGCTAAATGCTAGCAGAAAGATGGGCTAGACCTTAGTTATGATGATTGTTGGGTCAGGCTCAACTAACACATGGCCCAGCTTAGTCTCCAATTCCTTCAAAGCTGTCATGGCTTGGCTGAATTTTGTGAAAAAATCACATCACTTGCCATCATTCTCGTTATTGAAGGTTTTTGGCTACTTAGGCATGGAATGCATTCCGGAATAAAAATTCTGTTCCGGAATGCATTCCGGAACAGAATAGCGTTTGTTAAAAAATTTCCGGAATGCATTCTGGAGCGATTTTTGCATTCTAAAATAAAAATGCGTTTGTTAAAAATACTTGATTCCGTAATCGTTTTGATTCCGAATGCATTTTGATTCCTGAATGAGTTTTTGACAAGAAAAGAGAAGCTACTTTTGTAGCTTCTTGATTCGAAATGCATTCTCCCTATTTTCTCACAAATTTTTTTTTCGAAAATGCATAAAAATTAAAAAATTCTAGAAAAATTCATAAAAATTTCCAGAAAATAAAAAAGTCGATTTCAGAAAATATGAAATTTGGTGAATTTTTTTGTAAAAATAAAAAAAAATCAAAAAATTTCAAAACTTCACAAAATGGCTTAAAATACCCGCATACTTTTCAAATAAATTTAAATTTTTTGAGTGCCCAAAAACATAAAAATAATAAAAAATAAAAATTTTCAAAACTTCACAAACTGGCTTAAAATACCTAGCCATCCACTTTGATTGAAATTTAAATTTTTGAGGTGCCCAAAAAATAAAAATAAATAAAAAATTTCAAAACTTCACGTAATGGCTTAGAATATCTTGTACACCCACCTTGAGTAAAATTTAAATTTTTTGAGGTGCCCAAAAAAATAAAAAAATAAAAATATTCAAAACTTCACAAAATGGCTTAGAATACCTATGGCCACCCACTTTGAGTGAAATTTAAATTTTTTAGGTGCCCAAAAAAATTAAAAAAATAACAAATTTCAAAACTTTACTGGAATGACTTATAATACATATGCACCACCCACTTTGAGTAAAATTTAAATTTTTTAGGTGCAAAAAAATCAACAAATCAAAAGCATTTACGTCCAAAATCAATTTCGGAGACTACCATGGCTTGGTTGAATTTTGTGAAAAAATCACATCACTTGCCATCATTCTCGTCATTGAAGGTTTTTGGCTACTTATTTAAAGATGTTTTCCAACTCCTAAAATCTATATTTGACCCAAAAAAAAAAGCTCCTAAAATCTATTGAAGAGTAATTCAATCGATCGAAGTATTTCTCATCGTTGTAAAACCTATGATGTGCTTCTTGAAAGTCAGTTTTGTATAGAGATGATAGTTGTGACTTTCGAGGCGTCGCCATTCTTGGATCCTACCGAGCAGTAGAAAAGAGCAGAATCATCTCAAAAAGCAAAAATCGATGTTGCACATGACATACAGACACTCAAACCTTAGAGTAAACTATGCATCGATGCCACGCATGTGTGTGAGTGCCACGATTAAATTTGTCAAAATGGGTTATAAATCATTCCTTAACCCATATTTGATGGGCAAAGTGGTTAAATAAGTTAGTTATATTCAGTAAATAGATCATAAATAAATTTTCAAATGATAAAACTCAAAATAATATGAGTGTTAAATGAATTCACAATTTATTGATCTAAATCTCTATGACTCTCTCTTGCCTTCACTCGATCTCATACACGCTCGCTCGCTCCGCGTTCTCACCTCAATTTGAGTACAAATTTTCCTAGATTGAGTTATATATGGAAGTGTTTTAGCCATATATATTGGGTCAAGTCGGCTGGTCGGATATGAGTTGTGTCTAATATAGATCACTAAATTTATATTACATGGAAACGGATTAAAACGGATTAAAACGGATTAAATCAAGTTGAATCGGACCATTTTTGGCTCAATCCAATCTACTCATTTGACGGGTCTATCCATGATCCAAGCTTGTTTGGGACAAGTCATGCCCCATATGCACCATATCAGTCTTGACAGGACTCTTTAAATCGTACGCAGCAGAGTTTGGTGTGTATGAAGATGATAGAAAACCGATCATTCTTGGCTGTAGTCTCATAATACACACAAGAAATAAACTGCCCAGATTAATATGCACAGTACAAGGAAACCCATTGTAAAGTAAATACAATACATAGAATAATCTCAAACCACCCCTTATCAACCTAAAGATATCAGTGTGCAACAAGCCTCTCTCAGAATCAGATACATACAACATCATGATTTCCTAATTGTCTCCTTGCTACCAATCAATGTTTTGTCACTCAGTAACACTAATACACTCAGAACGCGAAAGTGAAAGATTAAAAAGGGACACCACCGCAAAGAAAGGAAAAAAGTAAGATTATGTCGAAGAAGAATCACACGAATCTGTTAAATGGCTTCCTTCCGACCACGGAAGACGCGGTCGAATCCACGCTCATGTTCCCGACGGACTGCCGGTCATGATGATCATTACTCGAGGCATTTTGAGAGCCAATGCCCTTGTTCCAAGCAAAAGTTGATCCGATTCCTCTCGTTAAAGGGTAAGAGAGACGCCTGCTAGATTCACTGCTAGGAGTACCCGGACGCCTTTCTTTAGGATTGCTGCTAGCTCTCGCCTTTGCTCTGGCAGAGACAGTTGGAGTCATGTAGTTTGGGACCAAAAATGGCGGGCAACTAGTGAGGCTTTCGTCATCCCTCATCGGCAAACCGAAGGGAGATACAGGTTCACCAGCTCTCGGTATTGAATACTGGCTTATGCTCGGACTGCTGGCCCTTGGTGTTCTCGTCGGTGTCACCCGTCCTCGCTTCGATGACATCACCATCATTGATCTTGATGATCTTGGTGTGGAGGCGTCAAAGTTATCCGACCCAAATGTCTGAAGCTTGTGGTTGATAGAGAGAATCCTTGGACTCGGCTTTAGCTCGGAGTTTCGCCTCGGTGGTGTGAGGCGGAAACTCTTCACGGATTGGTTTTCGGCCGGATTTGACAAGGGAAGCTGCCGTTCTATCCAGTTCCACCACCAAGGAAATACGCCAGATTGGATGTCTGCCAGAGATGTTTGAGCCGTTCTAGGATTAGCTCTCGATAACTGCAGACACAAGGGTCAACAAACAGCATAGTGAATAAACCGAGATCACAAATTCTGCTAGAGAAGAAATGACCTGAACTCCAATTATTTGATTATTTATGAACCGATGCTTTCTCACAAGAATCATTAACTCTCACGCAGATCAACATGGTGATTTCTAGATAACATAATGCAATCTTGATTTGCATTTCATTGTCCAAACTCCGCAAGAGGCATAAAGCTATTTTCCGCAGAAATAAAAAGGGCTTTCAAGTTTTCACTCTGCCAGCAGCATTGGCAGTTGTCATGGGTGCCTCTATGGTAGTTTGAACTTGAAAGCTCCAGCAAACACATTTATAGCAGCACACAGAATATGCTAAATGGTTGATCTGATAAATCTGAGATCACTCTAGCACCGTAGTTTTCACTGTCATGAAAGGAGAATACAATATGTTTAGAAAGTTATAACCCAAACTAGACATTTCATTGTACGTATGCAGTCTAAAGGGGATTTCCCTTGTCCTAATCGTCGCATAATCAAGAAAATCCGATGGCGTCAAGAGGAGGATTCAGCTATTCCCATTCCTAAGAACTATGCAATGTGCAGGCCTGACAAAATAGATGTCCTTCAAGGACCTATGGTTTGCAGAGGGTAAGCTGAGACTTCTTCAGACAAAGCAGAGAAAATTGTCAAATGAGTGTACCTGATGAGAGTATGCGTAAGCCCTTGCTCTTTCTCTCTTGATGGCTGCCTCTGCCTTCCTTTGCAGCCTCGCCTCTCTTTCCTCCTTTGTGTGCGCGGTATCGTCCCAGTACTCTCTGTTACCTGCCTCAGACTGTACCAACACTCGAACTAATTAATGAAGATCCCATTTAGGAAAAGAAACCTGAAAGTCAAAGTTCATGTCGAAAGATTCTGATTATGGAGGAATGGCTTTAGTTAACATTGAGGGGTTGGAGTTGAAAATGTCATGTCAGGAGATCGGTGCCATATTCCTTAGCAAAGAACATTGCCAATGGACTTCAGAATTGGATATGGAAAAACCGGAGCTACCAAACCTAGTCTTATTCGTTCTTCTCTTTACTTAATTCGCAAGACATCTATTAAAGTCAACTGGTAACAAATCAAAACATCCACCATTCAAATTCAACCTATCCAGCATTTCCCAGTGCGAAAAGTTGATAGTGATAGCCTCGTCTAGCATTGGAAAATGGATTCTCAGAGCACAAGACCATAAAACTCTCTGATCCTGAAATGTTGAAGCCTCACGATACTTACCGCTAAGCTCCATTTGCCGCAGGTGCTTTCCACTTCCTTGTCGTTCTTGTACTGAGCTTGATTACGTGCTTGGTTTTCTAACCTCTGAATCCTCCAAGATCGAATCTGTGACTGAACTCGCACAGAGAGATGCATATACTTTGAGGCATTCGTCGTTTGTCGCCTGACATTCTGCCCTCTTATGACTCCTTGAAGTCTTACCAAGCCTCTTAGAGCTCTGAAGCTTCTTCTTGCCTTCATTAAAAGGACAAAATTACATCAAATGGCTACTTGGGTTGGCAAAAGAATGTCGAAATCAAACAAACTCTAACGCTAACACCAACTCCCGGCAAGCTAAGTGTAGAAACTAGGCCTAATTTCAGCAACAAAAACTTCAAAAAAGAAAGTGGTTGTATGAAAAATATATCAGAAGTTGTAAATATCTATCCACATGGTTTCTATAAATCGACAACGCTGCAATTCACATTGCTTCTCTTGTAACTAAGTCATGTATATAGCTGAGCTGAAGCCCTCATAAAAGAAAGCTAATAAAATTTCGACCCCAGTAGGCATGTCGATGACAACAAATAATCGAGTAAAAGGAGTTGCAACTCAGAGGCTTCTCAGCCATCTGCAGATCTTTTGGCACTTTGATCTGGGGATCTTTGGCAATTCATATTTAGTGCGGTTCCATGTTTCACTCAATAAAACAGTGTCCTAAAGCAATCTATTCTTTTATTACATCATGTTAGAGCCCCTTCTGTCTTCCCACCCCAACAAGCAAGCAAGCATACTGAACACATCCACGCAAGCAAGTGCATGCACATGTGCATAAGCACAGAGTATTTCCCTTATAAATACTTTTTAAATCGACCAACTAGAAACAATCAGATCCTCACCATATACCCTCTGAAGGCAGCTTGAATCCTAGTAGCTGAAGCATGCTGGAAAGTTATGCTCGGTTCTGGTCGGACAATGACTTCCTTCTGGTGATTAAGGCTCCTGGAGGAAGTACCTCTGGAAGAAGCAACCCTGGGAGATGTGGCTCTTGGTGAAGCAGCTCGAGGCGAAGCAAATCTTTGGGAGGCAGATCTAGGTGAAACAACTCTTGGCGAAGCAGCTCTCGGTGATGCTACCTCTGGCGAAGAGGCTCTAGGCGAAGTGGCTCTCGGAGAAACAACTCTAGGAGAAGCAACCCTTTGAGACAGATTGCTCGTCGAAGCTACTAGAGAAGGCACAATCAATGGCGTTTGCGGTTGCTCTGGAGGCGTGGGAGGCCGAAATAGAATATTGTGCTCTCTTTCAGCATCTCCCAGTATCTTCTCGATGCTGCTCGGCTCTCTGAAGAGTGGAATCTTGAATGACTTCCTCTCTCCATTCTTCAGTTGTCCTGGCCCCTTTTTCTTCTTCCCTTTCGATTCTTTTTCTCGTGTGTCCTGAAAATTTATGCCGAAACTGAAGCTGTCACTTAAAGAACACAAACTCCTCTAGAAGCTATAAGCTGCTTTAGGAGACACCATGTTCATCATTCAAGAGTTGAGCTGGAAAGCAGAAACTCAATAAACTGCACAATCATGCAAAAGGTTGCAAAGTGCATCATGTCTTTCCTTCTCTCTGTGAATTGAAAAACGAGAATTTTCGCATGCTCACGTTTTAGAACACTGAAATCAATAAGACTTACATTGGTCGGTTTCTCCTTGGAGCTGGCTACGAAAATCCTTTTGATAGCAGCAAACCAACTCCCTCTCTTCCCCATGTCAGTCACATTACTATTCTTCCCGGAGATGAGAATTAAAGTGAAAATTAGAAAAGACGTTTGCGTAGTTCTAGAATCAAATGATGTATAACATATATCCACTTCATGGGGCAAGGCAAATCATCTTCCCAGTAAAACAAGCAAACATTAACTAGTTTCTCAGAAACATCAACCAGAACAATAACAGTCTAATTTCTATCTCAGATATGTGAGGGGTTGGCTATTGTTCTTGTATTAACAGAAGAACATAGGATCAGAAAGTGCTTCCATGACAATAAAAGCATATTAAGACGAATCTTCAAGAAAAATAGAAGCCAGTCATCATATTTCACAAACATAAATTGATGAGCAGTTAACAGCAAAAGAGGTTGCAACTCACAAGGCTAACAGCGCTCGGTTTGTAGCAGTTAACAGTAAAAGAGGCTGCAATCACAAGGCTAACAGCGCTCGGGATGTGACAAGCTAAAGTCGACTTTTTGCCAGAGAGTCTTAACGGATACAGAATTAGAAGCGAAACAAAACACAGAACAGAATTTCACCCTTATTGTTCAGAAGTTTTATGCTCAAAAGGGCAAAAAAAATCAACGGGAGGAAAAATCCTAGAGGCCAAAAACTAGAGTAGAAATGATATCGGAACCGGCATCTGTTGATGAATGGTTACACAAAGGCAGTCCTTATGAGCTAGATCGGCAAAATGAAGACAAGTACACGCTGCCAAGCCAGAGTATCCGCTTAGATACTTGTGGAAGTGGTGTTAATACAATATTAAAGCAAATGAAATGTCATGAAAAGAAAAATATTTCACCAGTTTTGTACGCTTCCTCAGTCTACAGCGGTCTCTGCATACAGAAGAAGGATTTCCAAAATTACCCCCCCAAATATCAAGCAAAATACCAACCTTAATTCTCAGAGAATCCAAACATCCTCTGTTCTAGCGAGAGAGAGAGAGAGAGAGAGAGAGAGTACTGGGTTATTTATGTGCTTGATGATGAGTTGTGGAAGGAGTGAATTATTCTAGACGAATGAAAGGGACATTAATTGCTCTCTGAAAGGTATCCAAAGAACACAAGAAATTGACAAAAACCGTCTCAAAACCCAACAAAGAAAACAACAGAGCGCTGGGTCTGTCAAGAACACCAATCCCACAAATTATCTGATGTTGACCAGCTAAAAAGAAGATGCTTGTGTCCGGCTAAACCAACAATTCAAGAACATGAACGGATTTCTTGACAACTGAGCTAATTATATGCCAACCCATGAAGATATCTGGCACAATTCTGCATGTGAGACTAAAATATCTTCACACCCAAGAGCCCAAAAGCGAAAAGGAGAAAGAAGAAGCGGAGAGAGACAAATTCGCAGAGCAGCATCAGCTCGTGTTCTTGTTTCTGTTTTACCTTGCGTTGGACCTTGTTGTTGAGCTTCTCTATCTTCCAGAAACACCTCCAAAAAGCTGCTGCAACTGCAAGAACGAGGAGGAACAGGATCTCCCTCTCTCTCTCTCTCTCTCTCTCCCCCCCCTCTCTCTCTCTGTAACGCACGCCCTGTTAATATTTGCCTGATGGACTCTTTCCTGAGCTCATTTGTTTACGCCGAACCCATATTCCCTTTCGAGTCCGGCGCCTTCCCTTTTGCGCCTGCTTGCTTGTATCAATTTACTTCTCCTTCCTATTCCTTTCACTCTGTTCCGTGCGGTGAAATCCCTCCACACACGTCGGGGTCCACGTATCCGACGGCCGATATCACCCTTGTACCGTCCAACCTATAGCCTCACACCGTGCACCTCACATACAGTTTGGATCAAACGACGGACCCAAAAAGACCAGGGGCGCCGCGGTCGTCCCGGACCGTTCGATACCCGATGTAAATTTCCGCGAATATATGCACTTTACATGCTCAAAATTGCATCTTTTTTAATGGGTTTTGGCTCACTAATTGTCATGGAAGAGAGCACGAGGTTGGAGAATTGGTCACTCCAAGAGGTGGCCAACTTCAACGACCATATCAAAGTGGGGATATGATTATGGGAGAGGAGACTTTGTTAATGAGGAGAGAGCAAGACAAAGGAAGGCAAACCCCCACTCATGGAAACGGTTAGGTTGGTGGCACCCCTGTTAACAACCCTTTTCTTTTATTTCATTTTTAATTCATTTTTATTTTATTTTATTATTAAATTTTTATTTTATTTTAATATTACAAATTTATTTATTTATTTATATTCCCGTTTGGATTGGTGATGGAGATGAAGCCACTTTTTGACAAATATTCTCTCTCTCCCGCTCTCCCTCTTTCTTTCTCTCTCTCTCTCTCTTTTCTTGCCCCACTTTTTACTGCCACGCTGCTCTCATGGCGCGTCCACTCCACGCTCTTTTCAATGGAAATTTGTAAAAGACCAAGGGCACGAATAATAACTATTTTGTTGCTTTATTTTTTCGTTCTCAGAAATAAGTTAGGAACATAAATCCGTTTGATAATATAATTTCATTTTTTCATTTTCGGGATAAATTTTTAGCCCAGAAATAGATTTTGAATAGAAATGAGAAGTAAAAATTTTCTACTTTTTTTGTTTCTGAAACAAAAACATAAATAATAATTCTTCTCAGAGCTCACCCTCACCGCCCCCGCCGCCCGTAAGCGCTACTTTCTGCTTAGAAACTCATCCAGGGAATAGAAATTGAAAAATCTATTTCTGGTCAGAAATTGAGCTCAGGAATAAAATGGTTATCATTCGCGCCTAATTCAAGCCCGAATAAAAGATATTCATTATTTACATGAGAATATTATATTGTAATGAAGAATTGGTAAAAATTTGCGGTGCATGTCAATTGGGCTCCCGATGTCATCGCCCGTTGAAAATTCACGGTAAGACGGCACGTTCTTAATAATGACCTTAGATCAAATCAACTATGGCATATAATAAACATTGGGACACATATAGGTATGGATTTTTTTCAATATTATAAGCAACGGAGACAAATGGCAAGCCCTAATTTATTGCAATTTGCACTACCGGTAGGAATGAAATGAATACAAACGCATGATTAGGATGGTGTACCCTAATTAACTCAGCCAACTTGCAACCAATCAAATGCTTGTTGAGTGGCCTAATCTATAAGCACAAAATGAGTTCTCTCTACCTTCTACGTAATGCAATGCTCATATTGAGTGAAGCTGAGACTTTTAGAGTATAATTTGTATTCTCTAAGGAATTGATCTATAAAGTTGATATATTGAGCGATGTAACATTATATAGACATTTAAATCGGTGAATTGCTTCCGGCCTTCCATCACTCGATTATCTAATCTCGTATTCATTGAGAGTGTGCAGATATTGCTCATCCCGGCTAACATCATGCTCCGAATACTCCCATACCCATGTGGATTGAAAAGTGGGGCTTCGTGTTAGTGGGGTCAAAATGCGAGTTATTCAAAATGGACGATACAATTGGTTCGTGGGAACAAGCGTGAGGGTTTTTGTGTTGGGAATGTAATGATGAGATTATTATCGTTTTAGAAGATCTCTAAAGGCGAAGTTGGTCTCCCGCGCAGAAATTGATCGGGAAGTGATGTTGTTCTCCTAATAATTAGGGCCGTGCAACTAATCCAGCTCTACTTGGGAATCGAATCGAATCAGCAATGGAAATAGGTCTACGAACCGGTACTGTGCGAATAGGTTCCGGATAGGAGTGCCGAAACCAGCGATTAGAACATGTTTTATGAAATTGAAAGACGATGATTTATCTTTCTTGAAAAGATCTAACTTTCCTATTGCTTTATATTTGTATTTGTTTTGTATCAATATTTTACTTTAAACCATTTTGTTGCTCATACTATATTGCCATAACTGTTATTTGTCTCGGTTTTTTATAAAATGAAGTAGCAAAAAAAGAAACTAGTTTGCACGTAGACCTTGAAACTGGACCAGAAAAACAAGGTAAGTTTCATGGCAAACATGATAGGTTTCGGGTTCCAAAAACTAGAAATCAGTTCTAACAAGGTCGGTTCCATACTAACCCTGCAAGCGATCATCCTTACTTATATTTATCGTGACAGGTCAAAACCGGTTGTTATGTTGAAGAGATCTACATGTCTCAGTCGAGGAAATGTACGGTTAAGTTAAATTAAGCGTGGTACGATCAATTACGAGGATGCAGTTCACTATACCATCCTTGGAAAGGATCCATCGAGGGAAAGCTAACATAGTCTTCTGACTCACGAGGCACTACGCGGGCTCGTCCTCGGCCAGGTTGCTTTCGACCCATGACACTAAGCTTGGAAGTGGAAACATAACCAACCAAATAAAGGAGAAAAAAACACACTTTGGTCAACTATGTCGTCGGTCTAATGCATTTCCTTTTGACTTTTGAGATGTCAAATAACTTTGGACCAACCACAAATTGTCATTTTTTGAGCAAAGCCCCTTCGTTTTGTAATCTTCTTTTAGGCGGTCCTTTTCTTTTTTTTCCCTTTTTCCAAATGTTTGACCCGGTTTCAGTTCACAACGTTAGACCCGAGACAAGAATTAAAGACGCTGTCAAATTTGAAGCCAACCGCAAACCCCACGTTCGGGAGTCAAATTGAACACATACGTCCTCTTACGTGGTAATAACGCGCTTTCAATTCATTCGTGCCGTGGACTACTGTGAAATCACGATTGATATATAGCTAATTTCGTGTAGGCTCCGAAAGCCTCTATCTAGAAGTCTATAATAGGGACCATCAATTTCGGGATTGACACGAAACCGACAATGTCATGAATTGTGGAATTGGGAATCGACTAGACTGTAACCCGGCGATCAGTTGCCAATTTTTTTTTTTTTTTTTTGTGGAATTGTATTGAAAGTCTTAAAACTTATCATCAAAATGCGATTGAATTTTAAAACTTTCCAAAAGTGCATTTAAATCCTAAAACTTGTCACAAAGTACAATTGAGTCCTAAAACTTTCAAAAAGTGCAATCAAGTCCTAAAACTTATCAAATTAGTCCAATTAAGTTTTCTCTTTTGATTGCACTTTTTAAAAGTTTTAGGACTCGATTGCACTTTCGCAACAAGTTTTAGGACTCGTTTACATTTTTTGAAAATTTTGGAACTTGATTTCTTTCTTCTTCTTCTTCTTCTTCTTTTTTCAAGGGAATGGAACATTGGAACTTAACAAGGGATTGGAAAGAACATTGTTTTTAAACTCTTGCAGGAAATAGAACACTCTTACAGACTGCAAGTGTGCCTACGAACGTTGTTTTTGTTCTCTTCTTTGGCCTTTTGGCAATAAAAAAAAACTATCGGTCTGGTTCAAGTGGTTCGTCCATACCTAAAATCGAGAACTGGACCGATTATCATCGATTCCAAATTTTAAGAACTGGGAACCACCCATAATTAGCCAATTCATCTGGTTCCCGTGTTCATCCCTAGTCTATAGCCCCCATTTCGAGCTTAGCTATTGAAAATGTTTTCATCATATGTGAACATCTATATCGAAAACATCATTGGCGTCGATTAATTTTTCTTATACTAGACAAAAAAAATATTTGTGGGGGCGAAATGCCGTCCTATTCAAGGAAACGAGTACGGCCCATGTTGGAATAACAAAGATCGGCGTACAAAATTTGCTTACGAATTAATGTGTCGTATTATTACTGTTATATACTTAAAAATATCGCGGTTTTGTCGTTATGAAATTTAGGGAATTTCTTTTTAGATAATTTCTCTTGTTGATCTTGGAAGAGGCCAGAGACTGTGGGGACCAATTTTTTGGGTATTGAGAGTGATATTGGATAATGTAATGAATTAGGAAGACTGATATGAAATAAATGAATCATTCATCAAAGTTATTGAATGAAGTTATTATTGTTGGAAATTATTATTATTGGTGGAATTTAATGCCAATTATTCCAAATGACAACTAGTGACCAAAGCCTTCCCAAACCCAACACCAAGCCCATGGCCCAATAGCTTAGTGTCGTCCGAATTCCCATGATCACCTCTAGGCCCAAGTGGGTAATGATATGTTCGTGTTAACCAAAATGATATGCAAAAAGCTTGCTATGTTACAATAATGTACATTTTATTTTCACTTACGTGAAGTGGAATTCCATCAGCAAAACATATTGATTTTCTAAAGGCTAAGAGCCACGATAATCTTGAGTTATAAAATTATTGGAGAACTGTCGTCTGGGTCACAAGTTCGGAGCAGTACATATAAAAATCCAGTGATACTTGTACACGTACAACGGGTGATTCGAATGGGCAATTTCGATGACCAATTCTCTACCTGAGATTGCCATGAACAATAGAAAACGACCGAGTTCTTGAACGCACAAAATGTTATCAGAGCAGTTGATTTCGATCGGTGACTTATGAAATGAATTTTTACCACGGATAAATTAGAAAACAATCCCACATGTGAAGATGGAGGAAAATCACCAATCAAGCTATCTTAGAAAGCTTATCTACTTGTTGGTTGATCATAGGAAAGAAGAGGTAACGTTGTCATTTGGTCATTCCGCCCCGGCCATGACCATTCTACTAAGGCGGCTTGGGCCGATCTTCCTTCGTCTCATCATACTCCTCCGCCGGATGACCTCCATTTGGTTCCTCCTCCGGACTTGCATCATCGCCTCCTCTTCCACCACGAACCTCCTCATCAGCACGTCGTCGGTCAACGACTTGCCCCGGAACACCCTCCTCCCCTCGACGCTGGACCTCGCGCCGAACATGACCGGCGGCGACAGCGACATCCGCTCCTGCGAGGCGAAGATCGACTTCGATCTCGGGTAGCTGTTGCTCCGCCTCGGCGGGACCTCGGCCTTGAACACCTCGTTGTAGGAGGAGATGGGCGCGCAGAGGCAGACCCGGGTGAACGACGTGGCGACCCTCAGGGAGTTGCATTTCCGCAGCTTCTGCCGGTGCGAGGTCGGGGCCGGGATCGGGATTTCCGCGGACTTCGTGATGGTCTTCCATAGGGTGGCATTGGGCGGTAAGGGGATTTCCGTGGGCTTAGACATGGTTGATCTCCACAAGGTCGCCATCTGAATTGCTCTCTGATACCAGGGCTTCCTGTGTCTGTACACATTGTCAATACACTATGTCATGATCCACCTCCATGAATGTCATATATTTGCTTGAATACTATTTTCCAAAACACCATCTTACCTTTTCAAATAACTATAAAGAAACATTACATTTTTTAATGCACCGCGATATGCGCAAGCAAATGGTATATTTCTTTGTTAAATATGCTTAGCGTGTGTCCCGGGTACGATCGTTACCGAGTCATGTATAAGGACAACCAGTTGGTCTTAACGTAATCATTGACTGACCAATGGATGTCCACCTTAGATTGGACCCGTGGGCCCAACACCAGAGATTGTACGTGCTAAAGTACCTGGGCACCAATAATTCGGACAAAGTTTGTGGAACTTGGAAAAGATTATGGAAATTCTACGATTCTTTTACCAAACGCCAATCAGCAAATTGAAATCAAAGTCCTCAGGAGACTCGGTGTCGGACTCGGTCGCACAGGAAAAAGAACTACGCAAGGCAATAGTAAAGTTTGACCGGGTCGGAAGCAGAGCTTGAATAGTTCACGAGTAACTTGACTCGCTTACGACTCACGAATGCCGAAATCGAGCGATTTCGGAGATGAGCAAGCGGATTCGATGATGATGGTTTTTTTGAATCTAAGTCCCTTTAGCGGGGAAGATCATGGGAGTCCAGTGACTCCAAGACAAGCCTAACATTCAGTCTGTTGGCCTTACATCATTCACAGAACTCAACCAGTAAACAAGCTTGCCAAAACATGACATAAGGTGAAAGCTGTCTATTATAATTTCTTAACCAAGACAATTACCTCTAGTGTTTCCCCCTTAATGGCCATCACTTTCATCTCTCTCTCTCTCTCTCTCTAGGTTGTGCACGAAAAAAGCCTTTGGCCTTGTGTGGAAAGAAAACTGCTAGATTTAGCTTGAGCAAATGTCCATGATCCATATGAGTTTGGCAGTGAGACAGAGAGAGAGAGAGAGAGAGAGCATACCTTGGGTGAGAGGTCTTGGGATCTTGCATGAACCGAGAAAGGAATGAAGTGTGAAGTTTGAAAGTAGAGGGAGGGAGGGAGAGAAAGAGAGAGCAAAAGAAGTTTCATCTGTGTGTGTATGTGGAAAGACTAGAGAAAGAAGTGAGTGCTAGTGACTGATGACGATGATGAACTTGGAGCTTTTCTTTTCTTTTCTTTTCTATTTTCTATTTTCTGTTCCTTGCTTTTTCCATGTTGCTTTAGAAGTTGTGATGACTGAAGAAAGATGGCAGAATTGCAGTGTTCAGCTTCTTTTCCTTTTCCCCCACTTCCTTTATTCCCCACCCCCTCTCCCTCTCCCTCGCTTTTCACCAAGTCATGATTTCTCCAGCCTGCTTCCAGTCCTCAATTTCACACAGGTTGGCAACTTCTTTCAGATAATGCATTCACCAAATTGAATCCACTTCTTTTAATTATACACTCATGCAAGAAGCGAGGTCTCGCACTGGGTGAATTCGTTGTGAGAGAGTTCTGTAGACGAATTTCGAATCTACTCTTCGAGCTTTACATGGGTACAAAAGAGTCAATTGACACTTATATCAGTACTCCTTTGCATGTGTGGGCAAGTGTCTAATTCGAACCCAAATAATAATGATGTTAGCCTTACTCAAAAGGTTGTCAAGGTTGGCACAGAGCAATATTATTTGAGCAGATCTCAATTTGTCTAAGCCCATGCCCTGCCCTGTTGGAATCAAATCATTACTGATCAAAAGCACAATCTTTTTCAGTGTCCTCCTCAAACCCCAATCACCCGCTTTTCACACACTCCACAACTGATAAAGGGTGACCCTCCTAATAATACTGCTCAGCTTTATTCAATTAGTTCTACTAATTAGTTTGCCTCTTCTCTTCAAGGGTATGCCTTAAGGAAAAAATGTGTGGAAATTGATAATTTTAAAATTATTGTTTTCTATATTTTGTGTTCATCATACTGCAAATGGTAGGACCCTGAGATCCAAACCTTTTTTTTGCCCGGGGATCATGAAATGATTAATCAACCGTGGGTGGTTTGATTTCAAAGACTCCAAAGCTGCCTGGAAACACCCCCTAGACATTATGATTGGGGGTTGCTGGATTAGGGATCGTGCCTGGCACAAATTGGCCTTTTTGGTTGGTTAATTAAGGAAAAGAGATGAAAAGTTTTGCCCTCTTAAGTTTTTAATGCAGTCTGATGACACTATGTCTCTTCACATGTCTCCTGCAATTTTGTGTGGTGCTTGATTGGGACACTCTAGAGTTCAAAAGGGGAAAGGTCTAGTCAGTAGATAACTTACATCTTCACTAATTCCAATTTCATCTGGTGGCTGGTGCTTCTCCCATTATTCTCGAGTAATTGGATGTTACTGAGTTAAGAAGGAGCACCTCGGAGCTTCCATCCTAAAAATATATAGTTTGTCTGTTCAAATCTCACCAAGTACATGTAAATTATTCTGTCGACGTCACTTGCACAAATTATATACTCTTGGTTAATAGAGTGTGTTCCATTGGTCTCCAGATAACTAGATCTTTATGCTCATACTTCGTGCCCGCGTATTCTCAAAGAAAAATAAAAAAGCATCATCGAATGCCTTATGTGGTCATCAAGAAACCTCTAGCCCATTATGTGATATAGTTGTTTCTACTACAAGAAATTTTCGGCTCGGTTAGTGCATTAGAAATATAGATATTACCCCCATACAAGCTCATCTAAAACTAAACGTGGATAATGTTTATGTTTATGATACACCCATTTGAAGATCTTCTTTTGTACACATACATAATGAGGCTTGCAAGAGGTGGCAATTCCCAATAAGACTCAAGAAATCCCATACAATTCTTTCTAATATTGATTTGACCCTACCCGAGTTGATTTCAAAAAAAGGTAAGGGATATCAAACACAACTCTTCCGAACTTTGGGTGTAGTACACGTCTGTCTTCAAACTTTTAACTGTTACATAATACCGCTTAAACTTTCATTTTTTGTTAACTCTACGTTGTTGTCTAGTTAGTATGTGCAATGCAATGACTTTTGTTGAGCAAAAGTATATTTTCATCTCATTTTTCAAGAAAATAGCACCAACATCATCCGACTCGAATCCGAAGCATCCGGCATCCGAAAAAAAAACCCGTAATCCGAAACTGCGGGTGGGTTCGAATCCGGATCACCCGATCCATTTCCAAAGCCCATCCAGTTCCCACCGGCCCAATACGGGCCCAACACAGGCCCAAAGAAAATCACGACCGAAACGCACCGTTTTTCGGTTACTTCCTCCTTCGTCCTCGTCCGCCCGCATTTTTCCCTCCCTCCTCCGAAAAACCCTAGAAACCTCTCTCTCTCTACTCGAAGCTGCACTCTCTCTCTCTACAACTTCATCAAGCTCGGAAACCCTAGATCCATCGAATCGGCGAGAGAGGAGGGAGGAGCGAAGGAGGAGATCCAGCAGCAATGTCGATGTCGAAGAGCTCGAAGATGCTGCAGTACATCAACTACCGGATGCGCGTCACCATCCAGGACGGTCGCCAGCTGGTCGGCAAGTTCATGGCCTTCGACCGCCACATGAACCTCGTCCTCGGCGACTGCGAGGAGTTCCGCAAGCTGCCCCCCGCCAAGGGCTCCAAGCCCAACGCCGCCGACCGCGAGGACCGCCGCACCCTCGGCCTCGTCCTCCTCCGCGGCGAGGAGGTCATCTCCATGACCGTCGAGGGCCCCCCTCCCCCTGACGAGTCCCGCGCCAAGTCCGCCTCCGCCTCCGCCGCCTCCGGCCCCGGCATGGGCCGCGCCGCCGGCCGCGGCGTCCCCACCGCCCCCTCGTGCAGGCGCAGCCGGGGCTGGCCGGCCCTGTCCGCGGCGTCGGCGGCCCGGCCCCGGGGATGATGCAGCCGCAGATGTCGCGGCCGCCCATGCCGCAGCTCTCCGCGCCGCCGGTCTCGTACCCTTCCGCCCCAGTCATTCGGCCCCCGGCCCAGATGCCGCCCCCCTTCCCTGGGCAGGGGCCACCGCAGATGGGTCGGGGACCGCCGGGGCCTGTGCCCCCTGGGCAGTTCCAACCCAGGCCAGGGGGCGTGCCTCCGCCGCAGTTCCCTGTGCCTCCTCAGCAGTATGGGCAAAGGCCACCTATGGTGCCGCCACCTCAAATGATGCGCGGGCCTCCGGCTCCACCGAGGCCTGGGATGCCTGCCCCGCCCCCACCACGCCCAGGCATGCCTCCCCCGCCTGGTGGTCAAGTGCCTGTTTATGGGCCACCGCGTCCAGGAATGCCGCCTCCACCGAATGCCCCTCAACCTCAGCAGCCACCGCAGTGATTTTGGTATGACTCTTTGTATCTTAGCTTACACATAATTCAGTGAATGATCATCTTTAAGATGTGAAAAGGTTTGAAGTTTCAGCCTCTGCATATCAACTTATGCGTCATTTCATAGGATCTCATGCTTGGAATAACAATCCTGATCTAGTGGGGCATTAATCCAACTGGTTGAAGTAGTTTTAGCAATAGAGGAATTAAGGTGTGGACTAGGCTGCTCTGAGTAAGACATCTTGTGCCATATTGATGAATAGTGCAACATTCGGAGATAATTTTTATGTCCTAAGAGTTAGGAAGCATGTGTAATAAGTTCTCTCATTTTTGGAATAACGGATTTGATGTTCTGTTTAAGGTGAATTTTAAAATTGATTTCATGTCTGGATGGTTACCTTTTGTATTGAGTTGAAGTAGTAACTCCGATTCTTCTCAGCGCCCAAAATAATATACTGCGTACATTAGAGTTATATTTTGGCAAAGTTGACTGTGCTGCCCTGGAGCAGGCTGTCCCTTTCAGTCATACTTGTCAAGAAGAAATTTTGGCTTGTGTCACAGGGTAGTCTTCTGGTCCAGGCTCCAATAGAAAATTACAGCTCAAGTGCGCAGACTTTATTATGTTCAAGATTGCCAGGTTGTAGCATTGATAGGTGAGATGCTTGAAAGTTTGAGATTTTACATTTATCTGCTGCCAAGTTAGTGGAGATTGAAAATCAATAGATATTCTTCTAAAGTCTTCGATATGCTGTAATAACCTGCTGTAATGCTTGTACTAATTCAGTTTAAAAGTTCCTAAACCTAAAGGATATGTACAGCCAAGACTCGGTAAGGAAACTTACTACTATAGAAGGTACATAATGTAACGGGGTTGCTTGAATAGATTATTCGACTATGCTATCAGATAAAAATTTGTGCATTCATTTCATCATCTAGATCATTAAGATTCTTAGTCCTTTGTATTTCTCCATATTTGCTTCTGTCTAATTTCATGACTGCAACTTTACAAAAGGTTCTGTCGGCCTAGTCAGTCCATTTTACAGTTAAGGATAGCATCACTAGTTGAGGCAATATTCACGTTCAATTTTTTTTTTGGAGAAGTCCTGTGTCTAGGGGATTTGCTTATTAAAGGATTGGAATCATCGCATGTAAACAGGGTCGGGAAGCGCATACTTTATGGAGCAAATATGATGTATTTTTTTGTCGAAGAGTGATTTATGATATTGTCTGCTAGGTACAATGATTTTGAAGTTGCAGTCTGTGAGAGCTGTATAAAATTTGTGAAATGTCCCTTTTTGGGGATCAAGTGGGATTAAATAGCCCTGATTTTACACATTATTAAACTTACATAGAAATTATTCCTTCTCAGAAATAAGTCGAGCTTTTCTTTATGTTCCTTGACTAATTTTATGTGAACTCAAATTGTCCTAGCCTGGTAATTTTTCCAAGAGGTGTCATTAATCTTTATCTCACTTTTGATACGCAATGTGCTCTGCTTAGTTTCATAGTTAAGCTAAGAGGTTGTTTCCTAGTAATGCGATTGGTAATATTCTTTGAATAATTTCATGTGTCAATATAATCTAGTTCTTATATATCAATAAAAGGTCATTTTTGGGACATTGGAGTCTGCCTTATGATATATTGCTTTGATAGGTTGCTTTTTCTAGAAAAGCTAGTTTGTCGATGGTTAGTTTCATGTCCCTTTTTCATGGCAGGGTTTTGACTCGTGGTGTGAAGGTCTTCAACTGGATGTTCATCTTCTCATACTGGCTCAAGGCTTTAAAGTCCTTTGGATTGGCTTGGACGTGTTAGCTTTGCTAAGATGGGCTTTGTGGATTGGTGTCAGATTAGCATAGTAGAACATTGGACCTTTTGGCAAATGCTGCTTATTATGGGAATGTAATGTTCGCAATCGGTATATATAGACATTTTTCGTAGAGTGCAGAGGGTTAATTGAGTAATTCTGAACAAGTTTCCTTGACATGTTTCTATGCTCCCTCCCTCCCCGGTCTGACAATCTTTAATTTCATCTTTCTTTAAAGCAGTATGATTGTCAGTTTGATCTTCTCTATGTGCTAGTCGCTGATGTCAAATATAGTTACCACAACACTTTTTAGGTTAATGGGCTCGCATTTTCTGAACCTTTCTTTTTGCCATCTGAAACGAAATGTTCCGGGTTAGTTGCTCAAGCAGGGAAACCGTTATACAATGCTCTAGTTATATACTGACTGAAGTACTGTATCTATATCGAGCAAGCATTCTTGGCATTCTGATAATGAGCTGTGTGTTCCAGCTATTTTCTCTTCCTCTATTATGCTTGACCGAAAGGCAGGCCATCAATGTTTGTCAGTGCGCTATGGCCTTTTCTGTTTTTGCATTAAAGCCCAAGTGGGTGTCCGAGGCTTTATAATTACTTGACTAATCCGCATCGAATGTGGCAGTCTTCATGTTCCATACACATGGAGAATTATGAGATCATACAGATGTGATAACTATGGCAGATGAATGAAATCGCTTCAGCAGTCTTCATGTTTCATACACATCGAGAAATATGGGGACATACAGGTGCGATAACTATGGCAGATGAATGAAGGGCACATACAGGTGCGATAACTGTGGCAGATGAATGAAATCGCTTCATACTTTTCAGTAGTTGACATGGCATATGGCGTTTCGTGTCGCAAGACGTTGGCGCGAGGGGAGTATTGCTCATAGCCTCCTCATCTGGAGAGGGATATGAAGCAAGGGATCTAATTTGTGTAAAAAAGAAAAAAGAGATGGCGCGGGGTACGATCGCAGATACTGTTGTTTGGAAAGCCACATGCTTTCTCTGGTCAAAAGAAACGTGGGGGGATTTCTTCGGTCTTCTCTGTTGCCTTTTTTGTACGTTGTAGACCAAATCATTTGGTCCATAAGAGGGAAAGGGCGATGATGACGATGAACATGACAGGATGTCCTTACGGAATTTAGGGGGGAAGTGGCTGATGAATGACGTTCACAGCCATCCATCTTTGTTTCTCACTCTCTTTTCTTTTCCTTCCTTTTCTTAAGGCTGCTTTTCTCTGCTTTTTTTGCTTTAACGTCGAGGTAAAATGTCCCTTTAAATTTTCTTTCTCTCCCTCCTTTTTTATCTAACGATAATTTTACAAATTGCTAGCTTCAATGAAAGTTGGTAGATTGATAAAAAAATAAATATGATAAGTAGGAAGCGATTCGATCAAGTGGTCATCTTATCGGACTAAATACAATTGGTAGAGTCGGTAACTCGAAAATGATCAAATAGATATTGATAAGTGACTAAAATAATAATTGCTAATTTAAAACTAATTGGTAGTCTCGTTAAAAAGAAGAGTTGGCGACTTGCTCAAATTAAGATTAGTAAGCCGGTAATAAGATTCGCAAATGAAAATTAGTAACTAAGTGAAACCATTAGTAATTTGTAGACAATCAAATAAAAGTTAGTAATTTGATAAAAGGGTTGGTCCTTTGTTAACAAGTTACTAAATAAGCAATCTGCCGGTCATTTTTCTGTAACAGGAAGAACTCGATATTTACAAGCATGTCTATAAATTTACCGACTATAAACATGTTTCCCTAGAATTTTGCTAAAAAATACATGTAGCCAATTCTTGGAGAAGTTTTCATGTTGTCGTCGTACCGCCTCCTCCGTTTAGCTTTGCCACTTGGTAAATGAAGTAACAAGTTCAGAAAGAAAATTCCCTTCTAATTTCAACTCATGCAAGCATAAATTCATGATCAACGTATCCCATACAACCTTTATCCAACCTCAGATTATACGATATATAGAACATGTTTTCGAGAGTTAGAGAGATGATCATGTAACTTTTCTCACATAAAACTAACTCTCTTGAAAAAGATACGTATCTAGAACTCAAGATTCTACAACAGAGGAAAAGTCCATTTTCAGAAAGCTACTGCTAGTTTGGATTCATGGTCTAACAAGAAATTTCTGCAACTTACTGGAGAAGAAAGACCTATCGCTGCGACAACTAAAAAGTAACCACAAGCCTGCCTAATCCTCTTGTTAATCTAGAACAAAGGACCCCCTGCATTAACCTAAGTCACTGAGCCCACTTCAGCCCGCAGAGGAATACTAAAAGTTCTCACTGGCTATCTGGCTCCCCTGGGCACTTCTTGGTCCAACCGCCTGAACCGGATCTACGTTCTGCTCGTTTCCTCTTGTTCTTAGGAAAATTAATATCTGAGGCTAAACATGATTTTAGTGTTGACTCCTGCTGAGATGCAACGCCTTTCACCACGGGGTCAGGCTTCGAAGCGGGAGCTGGAGAAGGATCGTTGCTCTCATCTTGTTCTCCTTTATCCAATTCCGGTTGCTTCAGTAATGCTTCCACTTCTGAGCTCCTTAGCATTTGACTCTCCGCTTCAGCTAGCTCATTATGTATGAGGACATTTTCCAATATCTGTAGATACAGAAATCATATTAAAATAATTGAGTAATTGAGGAATGTTCCGCCATTAGTTGTAATAACATGTGAAGCGCCTGAATTGTGAATGACTAGAAGGTCTATGTGATAATAAGAAACATTGTCAAAAACAAATGAGCAGATCAAAAAAAGCATAGTCAGGTACCCTAGCTTGATCAATAAGCTAAAGAAGCCAACCAGGAACCTGAGAAAACATTTGTAGCTGTAAACATGCCCAAAATACCAGTCCAGCGAAAAGGTGGAAAAATTGATAGCAAAAGGTGGTATGCTATTTCAAAGGATTAAACATTGGCAACCACCACAAAGGATGACACAAAAGTAATATAAGTTGCAACAGGAATGTTTGCACGGTACATCTCCGGCAGACATGAGTTTCTGAAATTGGCTGCAAAAATCTCTTTATCTGCTAAGAAAGAGAATCAACGAACTAGAGAAGAGCAAATAATTGAAGAAATAGAATTATGTCTCAGTCCTCCAAATTCTAACTGTGAGGACTGTAGGTGTTTCCTGGATCATACTAAGATAACATGAAGAAGTTCAGAAGCTATTATGTGGTGAAAGAATACTAAGAACATAGTTTCACTTGGACCAGACACCTAGAAGGATTAGAATAATTGCTGGCACAAAATCAGGGACGTCCATTCAATTAGAGAACCCAGACTCCACCCATCTAGTAAATTTACCAACATAATTTGAAAATAAAGGACAGTTATCAAGTCAGCTTAAAAAGAGTTATCCAGGAAATCCTGGGTCAAAGCAAAGTGCAAGCTTAGAGAAACTGTCAGGGATTAGATATGCGCTTAAGCCTGTCAAGTAAGTTTGCCACTGAAAGCTTACATCTTCACTTGTATCTCTGACCAGCGGCTGTTGGATGGCAACATTGGTAGCAGATAACAATCCTACAGTGCTTTCAATTACATCAGGAACAGGAACTGCATCCCCATAACTTGAAATCACACTTTCAGGCAGGACAAAATCTCCTATGTCACACTCTGGTATGTGCTGAGCTGAGGAGTATACGCCTCCAATTGATTTCACTTCGCCATTGCCAGCAGAAAATGTAGGACTCGGAGCACAACTAGTCTGTGCTTCAAAAGGTGCAAGCAGGCTCAAGTTCTCAGAAGAAGAGAACTTAGCAGCATTCTGTGTAATCACCACATCAAGCTGGCCTTTAAGTTTATGAACTCTAGAATGCACAGTTTCGATTTTCTGGAGTAACTGTTCCAAGTATATATCACCATCTTTGAACTCAAATGATGTTTGGCTATCGTTATGTCCAAATTCGGTGTTGACAATCCTGTTCTTGTCTGAAAACACTGCCACAAGAACAATACTTCTTATTCATAATCCCAAGGAATGTGATGAAGGCAGAAGTCACTTAAAAGAACAGCATCATTAAGCAATATAGCGAATCCAGAAAATAGCACTTGACAGCTGAACTGGGAGGAACCATACAACTTAGTAGGCCATTTGAGATGCATGTATTAGATGTGATAGTAAAATATACAACAAAGCTGTTATATTTTTTTTAATCTTCATCCTGATTCTTTTGAGAGTTAATCACTCATTCCCCTCCGTACACCCCCCCCCCCCCCAACCAAAAAAAAAACCACCCCATCTCAAAGCACCAAGAGACAAGCAACACTGCATAATATTGGTAGCAAGCAACAGAAGAAAGCTAAATTTGAATGGAGCTGTAATTTGTTACAGTGGATATTACCAGAAGAAGCGGTAAGTGCATTAATATGTACTCTCCTTCTCAGACTCTAGAGATTACCAGATTGGGAAAGCAAGTACATTATATTCCTTAGACTAAAATTTTCTCAGCAGTCTGTACATTGTGCTATCTCGAGTCATCTAAACTATAAAATGTCTACTATTACTAATGCAGTATGCCTCTTGCTGCCTCTTTTGCATCTGTTAGCACAGTCAACTGACATATTGCAATCTCTATGCTTAGGAACTTCAGCAAAGATTTTTTAAACAAATTGATTATCCTTTCCACCAGAAGAAGCATCTGTCAAATTAATTTAATGATTGAGGTCAACATCCTCCAATACCATTGCCACCTGCCACCCAAGGAGACCAAAAGATTGCTCCTAACAAAGTATAAAATACTTTGTTAGTAGAAGAAACCATCCAAGTTCACTACAGTTTCAAATGGAAGAAACACGTAGAGTAATCAGGATGCAGCAAATAATACCTGCGTTAGAAAAGTCATCGGCAATAAAAGTTCCTTCCGGATCTGACCTCTTGTTTTCTGCAACGAACACATCATAGTGTCACGCATTGACTATCTGAAAAGCAAGATACCGGACGAAGGTGCTGCATTTATAAATAAGAAACTTTTACCAAGATAAGAAAAAAGATTATGATGCGACATATACGATGCTATGTCTGTGATGTCTTCAATCTTCTTTCTTTTCCTCCTCTCCATGATCTTTCTCTTATAGCAGTGACCAGAAAATGGCATTGACTTTGATCCAAATTCTTCTACTGGGTCTGGGCATTGATCAGATGCCAAATGTTTGTTTTGTTCATATGTTGCAAGTTCCTTAGCATATTTAAGTGCTTGTGATTCAATTTCCTTTATTCTCAGTTCCGTCCATTTGCACCGCCACATCAGAGGACGTATGAAAGTCCTCCAGTGATCTGTCAACTTCTTCTTCCTAAAGGGGGGAATTCCATATTATGCTATTATGTAGAATTCTCAAAGAAATGATCCGCACATAAAGAACATGTTTATGCAACTTACGAACATGGAAATTAAAAGAAAGCTTGGGCACTCATTTTACAAGGAGTGCGCATATAATCTTTGAAACATTCTTGCACAAAGCATCTACAAACAAGGAGCAGACGATAGATGCACAATATTGGACTCACTAATGGACTTTTTCGCCCAGATAATAACGTGTGAGTAGAATAAGGAAAAGTAAACCAGAAGTCCAAAGCATTATGCATAGAATGCAATCAAGTCTTAAACCTTTTAATTGATGCAGTGAAATTCTAAACCTTATAAGTGCAATCAAGTGCTTTTGATTATTGCCTCTCTTAATTCTCCTCTGTAAAAACCTCTAAGGCTGTCATCTAGGCAATTTATAGGTGATTGGAAGAGCTTGATTGTGTTTTCTTTAGAAAGGTTTAAGATTTAATTGGACCATACGTAAATAAGGTTCAAGACTTCCAATTCACTACCAGCCACCCCCCCCCCCCCATAAAAAAAAAAAAAAACCAATACACAACTATACACTAAAGACAGAAGCGCCTACTGAATTAAAAGAGCATCATGCTTAGCCAGAGCATCTTCTCCTCTTCCTTAGATAGTTCATCAATTACACAGATGAAGCAAGACAAAACCATAACCAATTTAAATCCTGCTTTGAGTCACCAATGTCATCCGAAAAACTCATTTGTTTGCTTGGTGGACGACATCTATATCACTTCTCTTAATTGTCTCTTTCAACCTATCCCTTCACTGAACTCATACTCCAGATATCATAATTTTGACATAGTTAAGCATACATTATTAGATCCCAAGATTTCCCTCCATAATATGTGCTTCACATCTACTCTACTAAAATTTTATCTAGTACTTCCTGACCAAAAAAAAAAGGAAATTTATCTAGCACTCTATCATATGTAAAAGTAAAAACCAGGACATATCACCACAAGTATTTCTTGTAAGCTCATTTGGTACTAGAGGAAAGGGCAAACATCAAACTATAATGTAACCCCATGGCCTATTATAATTAGAAAAATCCTCTATTGCATATTTATGTGTCCTTATTGCAATCACAAACCCATCATACATGTCATATATAGTAAGTATACGGGGCAATATGCATCCCTTTCTTCTCAAAACCCTTCCAGTGAATATCGTAATATGGTTTCTCTGTGTCCATCAAAACCATGTGCGAATCCTTTTCAATATTGTCATATCTTTTCACTAACCTCTGTAACAAGTAAATTGCCTATGTAGGTGAATTCCTGACATTAAATCAAAGTGGTTCATAAAATCCTATACTTCACAAACACTACGTGTCCTACTTAGCCAACGAGTATCTACTTATAGCACATTACTATTAGGTGCTCCAACAGTCAAGATGAACATATTGAAGCCGTTTAAACAACAGCATTGGGAACAGGACCTATATGTCACTGTTACTAAATCTCACTGTAACTCCAACAAAATCACAAGCGTGTTTAGCAAGAGGCTTATGAAACATGCTCTCTAGACTTCCAATATCTCTAAGAGATAAGGTTGGCACAACAAGGTGTCACTGTCCGCTAAGAAAAAGGTCCGAAAGGAGTCTTTTTAAACAATATTCTTATGTCAAGATCAAAGGGGGCAACACTCGAACTGTCAAACCACTAGATAGTTTGAATACATTACTACAGATGATAGTACTCAGTAACCAGACAAAACGAATTAGATAAACAAGTAATTTCCAGAGAAATGCAATTTTACTGCTCGCAATTAAGAACCTGCCCATCCCCAATCACCGTCAATTAACGAAGTTTGCATCAATATGCACAGATTCAAATAATCAAGATGGGCCTCATTAAAGTTTTTCACCTTGACGAGAATTCCCATTTTACAACCCTCTTAACAATTTACAACTTTCTGTTACTGCCAGTTGTTGATTGGTATCTGGTAAAAAGTTTCATTATAAAAACTGTCAAAGTATGCTAGATGTAAAGAGCATTAAGTTGAAGATGTACACCTCATTCGAAAGATACTATCGAATGCATCAAGTGCAGATGGAAAATCATTGTCCCTGCAGAATTGCGAATCTACTTCAGCTTCACTCATCCCGGAATAATACTCAGAATCAGATAGAGTGCCACCAAAGGAACTCGAACATTCAGTTGCATCAGGATCCTGAGCATTAGCCAATTCCTCGTTACCAGAATTGGTAAACTCAGTAACATCAACTTCAGCATCCACTGCACTTCTCGGCACATCTGTAGTTGACTCAGACTCCATCAACGAGATATTGCCCTCTCGTCACTATCCCAAATGCAACTTAAATCCACGCTGCCAAAGGCTTCTGCAATACTTTTGCTGGGCAAGGCTTCTGAGGCAAACTTTGGGTTACAATCTGGATCCATGTCCTTTGAAAGTTGAGAATAAGCCATGCCATGGTTTTGGAAGCTATTTCATTAAATTCAAATCGAGCACCCTCTGGACAATTTCCCCTGGAGGAGCCTGAACCAAATGCCACCAGTTCATGTCAAGCACAAGGCAGTATGAAATGCCCAAAGCGCAATGCTAGGTGTACCAAGATTCATTTGCGAAATTTCTTCACCCAACAACAGTTTGCCGAGTCATTTTGTGTACCCAACTTTCTAAACCAATTTCGGTATACCCAGTATTCATGTTCAAATCATGCAACAAAAAGAGAGCAAAAAAAAATACACCCCTAGTTCTGAGGTAATCTGAAAGACAAGCTAAGCTGGAAAAGAAGCCATTTTGAACCTACCAACTCATATAACCAACGTCCCTTTCCTTATGATGTAACTGGGTGTCAACAAATGCACAGTCAGTAGTGTACTCGACGAACTATTGCCACAGCGAACCACCCAAATAGCAAAAAAAAAAAAAAACCCAAGAACGGTCATCAGCATGTTCAACTTCATTCGTTCAGCAACATAACAAGCCTGACCAACTAAACGAAACGATGCTAGGAGAGGACTCCCGCAGCCCAGCCGCGCTGAAGGGGGAATCAACATGCAGACATCAACCGAGATTGGAGCTCACGGGGGACGGAGCGAAACAAAGGGAGCACGCTGCAGAGATTTTACTCGGAGAAGTAGCGCGCGGCGAGCTTGAGCTTGAGCTGAGCACGGCGCTGCTGGCGACCAGGAGTTTCGGCGGCTGGTGGAGGAGGAGTGAAGGAGGGAGGGGAGGCAGCGTGGAGACGAGAGAGAGGAAGTTAAACGTTATAAACCTAAAGAAGAACACCTTCCCGCTTTTCCTTCGGTACGTGCCACTCTTCTATTGCTCCCAGACGCGTGGCGCTTTCCGATTGGCCCGTACACGACACATATTTTTGCTTCTCTCTTCTAATTTGTACATTTTATACTTTATTTATTACGAAAAATCTCAAACTGATAAGTCGGTGATAAATTTATCTCAAACTAATTTTTTACTACAAAACCCCCAAACTAGTACATTGGTGACAAATTTATCCTCCGATAGTTCTCGTTAAACTAGAGTAATACCACAAAAAATTACAAATTAGTACACTCGTAACAAACGAAAGAAAAAACCCATACCCGTTAATTATCACGCGTCATTTAATTCAGCAATTTGACTGTAAAATTTAACGAAGGGTAAATTCGTCACAGATATACCAATTTTGAGTTTTTAATGATAAAAAAATTAGTTTTTGATAAATTTGTTAAAACTATATCGATTTAAGGTTTTTCGTGTATTAACTTTTATTTCTTTCTTTCAACGTACACCAGCCCCAATTTAATTCTTCTCTCCCGAATCCAATTGAAGGCAAGCTAGCTAAAGGAGTTTTTGATCGAGATGCCATTAAAGATGAAATACATTATAGCTATTCAAATCTCATCAATCGCATGCGAATTATTTCGGATAAAAGTCAAGTGTGCAGATTAAATATTTAAATTTGATTTATTCATGGAGCTTGGAAGATATTTCACAGAACTCTTTACTTGTGTTCCTATAAAAGAAATTAAAGAAAAAATTAGCGAAAAAGAACTAGACGGAGAGTACCAAGCTTGATGACTAAGTTAAGGTTCAAAGGCAGCTTTTTAAGCCCTGATTCTGCTGATATGGAAGAGATTAAAGAAGCCTTTCCACGATTCCATCTTGTTTAGTATACACAAATTTCGCGAACGAGGTACTGATTCTGGCCCTTTTGTTGTGATTTGGTCGGGTTAGAGCGAATAAAATCATCTAGCGAAATCGACACGTATTGAAGAAAGTAGGTAAATTAGGTGTTAATTCCCTATAGTCTAAATAACTTGTAAGGCAAATTTATGCACGCTTTTTTTTTGTAGAATGGACCCTGTCGCTTAAAAGTTGGTAAAAGAGGCTCTTCCAATTGTGTCAAAAGTGAGATACATAGAGCGACATTGCAATCTACTGTTCATCTATATTTCCTTCCTATTTAACGGACTAGCAAATATGCGCACGTGTACATGGAACTGGAACCTAGAAGATTAAGCAAAATCACTTTATATTGTAAAATTTTATGAAAATAAATTGCTGGTAAAACTACATAATCCAATAAGGGTGTACAAAACGGATTGTCCACCGAATTGGTCGGTTGCGTCCGGTTCCAAGGAATGTCAATCCGGTTCTCCGTTCCAAGGGGGGAATCGAACCGAACCAGACTGACCAAATCGGCCCGATTACATATATATTTTTTTATTTTTCAAAAAAATTAGTAAAATGTGAACTAAACCCTAAATGAACTTTATTGACATAAATTTATTAACAAAAATTAGTAAAATGTGAACTAAACTTTAAGCGACCGGTTCCATTGGCTCGGACTGGTTCAGAACCAATCACCCTTGTAATCTAATGAAATTGTATACTTGGAAAGATACAAGATAATTCATAATTGAAATTTTTTTAGGAAAGTTGCGGCAGGGTAAAAGTGATTGAAATTTTAATACCGAAACGTGTGAGAGATGAAATTGAATTGTTAATCCAAGCATTTGCCTTTGGCTAAAATATTTATAAAATAATAAGCTGAGAATGTTTGGGAAAAAAAATATCGAGATCCCTCTAAATTGAAAAGTCCTCTTTGCTTTAATATATTATATATAATAATATATTAGATAATAGATAAGTACAAATGACTTAAACAGACATGATTCGACGTCTATAGCAAGCATGATCGGCTCTGAAATGAATAGGTTTCAAACATGAAATTTGGAACCTACTACATCAGGGTTGGATCCCGATTTTTGGAATCAGGAACCAACCAAGACTTCTTCTTTTTCCTTTCATTTTGTCAAATATATAATATGCATTGCGTTAGACTTGAATAGAGTTCTTTTTGCTTGAGAATAGTATGTCAAATATATGCAGGGCCGAACTAATGAAGAAAAAGAGTAAAAGAACTTTACTAGGTTAGGGGCGATCCGGTCAAGACAGGTTCCTAATTTTTTGAAAACGGGCACCGGACCGGTCCCCGTTTAAGTAAAATTTATTTATTTGAAATCCTTCACAAAATTTGGAAATTTACACTTAGGTGCAAATAAATGCTCGTGCTTATCATCTCGGTTGGTTTCTAATAGTAGTGGCATTTGGTAGGATTCTTACCTTGAGACGTGAGGTTTAAAGATATCAACCGTGTCATCATTACAATTAAATACGGCTGCATTTGGATGTGACTTACACAATAAATGATGCGTTGTTATTGGTAAATGTTGCGACGCCGTGACTTTTTATACACGGGTGTCACGTCACACGACACGACATCAATGTTCACACCTTCTTTTGCGGAGGATGTAACAAATCATATTCTTGCGGTAAAAAAGAAGACCCATTTTTTTAAACAACAATCTAGAGTTTTAGCTGTCGTGTTAGAAACAACTCTTAGAGAGGTGTCTATAATAGTATGGTTATATAATACATCGTATTGGTCAATTGATCGAATCATTAAACGTAAATTTAGCACAATTAGAAGCATTTTTTGGAGCTTCGCAATCCAAGTACTAAAGCTCGCTGCCCGGGGGAATCTCAAACTCGAAAAACACACATGACTTGCCTTGGACCAACTCACGCGACAGAAAACCCAGCATAAACTCGAAAAAGTTTAGTACTCAATTGGTCAATTGATTGCCATTACACTTCGCGCTCATCCAAAAAAAACCAAATCGACGGACTATAATTTTCTTTCCCGATCTACCCACCTCATCAGCGCGGGCGCGCGACGCGCGAGGCGCGCTCGCCGGACAAAACGAGGGGCAAATCGGTCATGATATTCCAGGGCCTCCTCTCCGGTGACAGTGTCTCTCTCTCTCCCTCCAATATTGACTCTGTCTCTCTCTCTCAGGCTGTCATCGTCTTTCAAATGCTGCCATTTCCGCGATCGCATGGTTTGACCGTCGTCAACCAAACCCTAAAACCTCTCCCCGGAAACCTCGATCGGTCTTCCTTGTCGATTGCTTCGGGCGGAATTGCGACGGCGAAGATGCGCCAGTAGCTTCGTGTGCATGTGCTCGCGGTTTCCTTATTTGTAGCTGTTGTTGTTGTTATTGTTGTTGCTGCTGCTGCTGTTGCGGCGATCATGGTGATGGAGACGGCGATTCTGGAGATTTTGGTGCCCTCGTGGTGGGAGGTCAAGGTCACGGTGGCCACCTCGGTGTTCGTGACGCTCGCGTACTGGTTCTTCACGTACGGGGCCGACGGGAGCGGCGGCGGTGCCGAACCGGATCGCTCGCTCGCCGAGAATTCGGCCGCTTCCGGTGACGACAATGGCAAGGTGCGATGATTTCAACGACGGCTTCTCTCTCTGTCTCTCTCTCTCTCTGTTTCTCTCTCGTAATTTGATGTTTGGAGTTGGTGATTGTGTGATCATGATCGTGATGGAGATGTCGGTATTCGGTAATTCCCTCTTGGTTGTCGTCATCTTTGGTATTGGGGGATGAGCTTTGTTTGTCTACGAGGAAGTGTTTCGTGTAAAGTTACCTTTTTCGGACCATTAGACAAAGTTCGCTTTTCAGGACCAAACGGTAATAATGGAAGGTTAGCCCGTACTTTCTGATTCCACGTTTATGGTGGTGGATTGTGGCGCCTTACTTCATCGCCGTTGTTATACCCAGCGGCTATTGAAAGTGAGTGGAGATAAAATTTGAACCTGAGAACATTTGGCCTGCAAACCTTGGATCCACTTCTCTGGCCGTATTTTATCCGCTCTAGTCTACCGTTTCAGAGTTCCTTATGGCATGGAAGTAGAACAGAGGATCTCAAACATCAGATTGAATGGGCAGAAAGTTACTAAATGGCAGGACTGCTGATGTTTTTAAAGTTTTCCCCTGTTTCTTGTATTTTGGTGACATGAACCATGTGAAACATGATACTCACACTTTATCAAGTTAAAGAACAACGAAGATTAGATAAAAGTGAGATCCAGCTCATCATGGGGAGTCATTTTTTCTCTTAGTTATTGACCTGCAGAGGTTTCTTTAGTTCTTCTTAGGAAAATATGACTCCCTTCTGTTAGCGTTTGCATTAAGAGTCTTATATTTTGCATTAATTATCTAGGGTGCATCCTCCACAACATATATTTAAAAGGACTGGCTGATACAACATTTAAGAATGTACCTGATAATGATTATAGCAATTTGTTGCAATGTTTCAGGTTATTGGTGATCCAGTATAAATATATATAACTGGAAAAATGCTTAAAAGAGAAAGGGATATATGTCTTACAAGTTACGAGAAATTGTTACTTTCTTTTACACTTTTCCGGCTCTTACGTTAGGGTTCTTGTTGAGTATTCAACCCTTCTTCTAGTAATTTTCTACTTGTTTGACATGCAGTTCTGCACTTGTTTTGTAGATGGCTCATTCGAAGGGAGATTCTCAAAGCAATTCTGCCTATGTAATTAAGGTATTATTTATGTTTACACGTGTATTTTCAGGAACCTTGTGCGGAAAGAGCTGTACATTTTTAATTACTCTCTTGGATTTTAGAAGGGTCTTTTCCCATAATAAGGTAGTTTGTGGTTATGTTCCGTTTCAGGTGGAATTGTTAGCTGCTAAAAATCTTATTGGTGCAAATCTGAATGGCACTTCAGATCCATACGCTATCATAACCTGTGGTACAGAAAAGCGATTCAGGTTATTACCTATGCAGTTGTGCAGTAAATAAATCTCCAGTGTCCTCATAGATTGTCTAAGGTTCAAGAATATGTATTGTAGAAATGATAATGAAGCTCACTCAACTGTAACTGGAAAAATATGAAGATGACCTTTTTACACAATACCCACACCTTTTTTGTCAGACTTTTCGACTCATCCTGATGGTGGTCTTTCCTTGGTGCAAACTGATGCAGCTAAGGGTACATTAGCTGACTGATTTGGCCAAACAGATGAGTCAAATTTGCTTTTTTTAGAAGTACCGGGCAATTTAAAAAAGACAAGGGTGCAAACTGCTCTGGTGGTCGTGGTATTGCAGCGGCAGCTGGTCATATGTCAATGGCGACGACTCCAGCCAAACTTTTCTCACATATCAGAACTCGTGATTGCACGTGACTAGTTATGAGAGGCAATTTGGTCATATACCATCTATTTATGTGAGAAAAGATGTAGGGATTACTTAGTGCACCCGTCTATTGTAGAGATTTATATAGTAATTTGACCAGTATTCCACTCCCTCTCTTTCTACACACATATGTGTGTGCCTCCACAATAGGAATCTGTCCTCCAACTTATCTCTTGCGACAATTGAAGGGAAAAATTCACTTTTCTGTCCACGGTCCCTAAGCTAGGGAAGGCATCTTTTATGAGAAGAGGTGCTTGTTTGTTATGGTCCCTAACCTAGGGAAGGCATATTTTATGAGAAGAGGTGCTTGTTTGTTCTGTATTCATGGGTCTAAGAGGTTGCGCTGTAATATCATTTTATAATGATTCTCTCTTTTTCCTTTGAATGAATTGTACACTCAGTTTTCTGATTAATAATTACTTTGTACTGCAGCTCAATGGTGCCTGGTTCTAGGAATCCCATGTGGGGAGAGGAGTTCAATTTTTCTGTAGATGAGCTTCCTGTTGAGGTAACTAATTATTTGATATGCCTTGTGTCCAGAAGTTGTAAGCACTTAAGATGAATAAACTGTAGTGGTAATAACATTGAATATTCTATTGTAAATTTTTATTAATGTGAACTTGCTGCAAAAAGAGGCTTGTCTCGCTAAAAATTTCTTATATATTTGTCCATAGTTTTTTTAACTGCGTTGGACTGTGATTCCCTTTTGAGGAGTGATGCATGATCTTTAACAAGTGATACGTGATCTTTTGCTTAAGCCCTAAATAAATCGAGAACAACCAAAGTCCATGAAAAGAGTGTGACAACTTATTTCCATTCAAAAAGAGTTAATAGTAGTATCATGTGACGATTTTGTCCTCGGAGTAGGCATCAAGAAAGTGCTCAAAAGGATAAGAGTTAATGTTTAGCAAAAGCTGCATAAAGATTATGAACAATACATTCTTGATTGAACTTGGTGAGTCACTCGAGTCAAGTTTGATTCACAAACTACTTGAACTTGACTCAAAGTCGAAAAAGCTGGGGTGAGCCTGGGTAGCTCACAAGTAGCTTGATTCGTTTGTTCCTCTATTCTTTAATTCTACTTTGTTCTTTCAAAGATTTTGCTTCTTTTAATAGGTCGAATTATTTTTCGCCCTTAATTCATGGTGTGGAGTTATCGCATTTTTAAGTTGACCATTGGAAGTTCTTTTGCTAAATAAAGGTATCTGCCACTTCACACGTTACCTCTCTAGCTAATGATTGATTGACAAACATATGTCTGTCTAGTATGTGCTCAGTCCACCTTCATATAGTCAGGTAATGTATCATTTTGGGTAGTTTTGTTTATGGTTTTTGCAAAAAAGGGCGGCAGCAATGTAGTAGTACATACTGTTAGATAAGCGTTGTCCGAAACTGGCATCTTTATATTGAGTGATCCTTCAGAAGCTAGCTAAAGCATAAAAATTGCGTATTGGCTTTAACAAGATTTGTCAATTAACAAAGCAGAAAATAACTATGCATGTTGGCCACTTTCCAAAGAAGGATAGCATTGGGAAACTATTTTCTGCAAAAACTTAACCTGTTACGAAATGGGTCCACAATATGTATGAATAATATCTCATAAATGCTTTGATTGACATTGTGGATCCCTCATTTTGTAAATGAGCTCTTTTTTCGGCTTTTGAGCTCTTTTCGTAAAGGGCTGGCAGCCCTTTTGTGCGTTGTAGTTGATTTCTCTTCACTTTATAAAAAAGGACTGGAATTATACTACATACGATGTTGTCCACTCTAAAATGAAGAATAGTGTTAGGAACCATTTTCTCTTAGGTTAAACTGTTAGAAGCTTATCTTTGAATTATTTGAGTGACATTATGAATTCCTTATTAACTGCATTGGAACTCCTTGGGTTCCTTATAGTGAATTTCTCTTGATAAAAGGAAATGGAGCATATTCGATAGCACTTGACCTCCTGTAGCCGGACTCTATACTTTGAAATACAAGATGCGAACATAATCACATCAGAAAGATGACTTAAGATATGGCATAAAAACAATAAGAGGGAGTATTGGGATTGAAAGTTTATCTTTGCTTTGATATCATGTTAGGAAATGTTTTTTTTTTCTAAGAGCATAATTGTTTGTAAGCCGATATATAATGAACACCAGTCTCGTCCCTTAACACATCCCTGTACGCCCGTACGTTTAAGCATATGTCGACGTGACCACATCAAATAAACAGCAGGAGGTGGGGGGACGCTATGGCACTACAACTGGCGGTGCTGGGATTCAAACCGTTAAAATGTGCTTCAATATCCTGTTACGAAACTGTTCTTTCAAAAGCTTTAATTTGTGTTAAGCGGGCCTAAATACATTTCAAGTATATCTCAATGGGTAGCTTGAAGTAAAGATATTCAATAATGATCTAAATGGTTAATGAGAACCTTAGGGTGTGTTTGGTTACTTAGTAAATCTACAGTTTGCTCTTTCCGGTTTCAGTAAAAACTGGTTAGGAAGCACATTTGATAGCCTTTCTTGGTTTCAAATTTTCTAAAAATTAGGAAGATATTCTGAAAACAAGAAAACAAAATGTTTTATCTGTCTTTCAAACTGCAGTAAGACAAAAAGGAAGATTTAAAATGTGTAAATGATTTAAACCTTAATTAGGATAAAAAAAGCACAAATTGGAATATTGAGAACAATGCACGAAACTTGTTCTAATAATCTTGAAGTACTTAGATAATGTTGATTGAGATATGCAAAGAATGCTAAAGGTATTGGAAATTTGGTAATGATGACATCGGCAATATATTCAACTGCACAAGTTTGTTTTTAGGGCACGTTCTCATTATAATGGGAATGGCGACAACACTTTAGAATTCGTCACTTAAATGAGTCTTTAGCAAATGGAATTGTCTCTAATTGTCTCACATGCCACATAAAGTTGGTGACAAACCGACAGCTATAGCCTGGAAAGTACTTCGTATGTTCTTCCCTAATCGAAATTATCATGAGCATTGTGAAATTCTGAGAAATTCTAGAACATAGGGTATCACAATATAAGATACGTGAATTTTTAGGTTTAAGTGATGAATAAAGTATGATGATTCAAACACGCAGCGTATGCAATTTTCTTTCTTGCAATCACTTTGACAATTTCTTTCTTTCTTTTTTCTCTTAAGGTGAGTGACTTTGACAATTCCATTATAATTTGAATATTTCTTCTATTAGTAGCAATGCACGGTCACTTTCTAGTTATCTATATCTTGGTGAAGTGCAAATGCAATCTCAGCTTCTTTGGTTTATTTTTGGCTGGAACTACGTTTATCTTTTTGAGCTAATGTTTTGTTTGGTATTAATTTTTTGAACAGCTGAAAGTTTTTTATACTGATACTTTGTTTGGGCATTGTTATATTACCTTCCTTTTTGATAAACGAGAACAATAACTTTGCCCTATATGCCTGGCAGATTAATGTGACCATATATGATTGGGATATAATTTGGAAAAGTGCTGTTCTTGGTTCAGTGACTGTTCCAGTTGAATGTGAAGGTCAAACTGGCGCTGTATGGTATACTCTGGATAGCCCATCAGGGCAGGTAATTCATGTTCGAAAACTAGGTTGCTGATTCTGAATATATTGCGAATACACTCTTCATGACTATGCTGTATTTACTTGTCAGGTTTGTCTTCATATTAAAACAACAAAGTTACCCGTAAATTCGACAAGGTAGCATTGTCTTTATTGGCTTTATAATTGCCCCTGTTGAGTCAATTATGCGCATTTTTTGTTATATGCATATGACTATATATGTCTGAGGTTATCTCCATATGCGAAACGGAAATGAAAAATCCATTTTCAACTCTTTTTTTTTAGATGAAGTGTTTTATTCTCTTTTGACCGATTATGTTCGGAATTATTCTGTGCTTGCTTAAGAAACGAAGAAAGTTGAAGAAATGAAAATGGTTGAAAGGAAAGTGGAGGTCAAGAAAATTCTCTTACGATGTTATTTGAGAAGAAGGAAAAGAAAGGAGTGGAGATGAAGAGATAGTTATGTGAGAACAAAGGAAAAAGTTGAGATTTCTGAAACCAGGATGTTAAAATTTCATGGTCCAAGGATTTTCACGTTTTACTGTGATACATCCCCTCCGTTTTTTAAAATAGCTTAGCATCTACTTGATCTCCAAAAACTGCAACTACATTTGTGAGATATAGATTAGGGCGGAAAGGTGTGCTGTGGATGGTGAATAGTGTACATGGACCTTTGATGATAGAAAAGTTGCTAAAGATCAGATGTGCTATCTAACTAGATGCGGATTTTGGAGTTTTTGGTCCTTGGGATGGTTGGATGTTGGCACTGCGTAATGTTTTTTGTTGGCTTTCTATACATGAACCTTAGCCATTAAAAGTTGTGATAAATGGACCCGTAACTTTAAGGATTATCCCCTTTTTTATGGCATTTTGTTAAATCAAATTAAAGGGAGCACAATTCTTAATTGTCACGGTGAAACTTTTGCAGAATCACATATCTAAATCTGCACTGGGGCACACAAACTCATTGCAAGTTATCTTTAATTAGCTTCTTTAAACATGCTAAATTTCATTGATTTTATCTATGGATGTTAAAGGCTGTACTATATGGCAACGAAAATCAAATGAGCTTTGAAGAGTGTATGAACACATGAAATGGGCAGATAAACACTTGAAGCTGTATCATTCTTGTTGTGCAGTAATTGTCTTAGATCAATCGGTGCTGAAATGGTTTTGCAAACTAAAGTGTGATGAACCGACCTTTCTTGTAACTTATCATTGAATTTATTCTAAAAAGTTGGTTGTTGCTTTTTTTGGAGCAATTCTTGTTGCTTATTTCTTCTGGATGGATAAGGTCTCATGGAACCCTTCTTTTTTTTGTACGATTTTTCCACTGATCTCTCTATCCCAGGGTCATAAATGGATATTCTGGAACTACTGCTCGTAGGAGAAAATCCCTAGATAATCAAGGACCGACGGTGGTTCACCAGAAGCCTGGGGCCTTGCAAACAATATTTAATCTCCTTCCAGATGAGGTGAGTACATGAGGTTTTCATCAATGTTTGTTTCTTATTTGGTTTGAACTTCGACAGCATACGTTTTTTTTGTCTTTAGTCTGATTTTCACTAAATACTTGTCAGTTAATTCCAGCTGGAGGCCTTATGCTTTGTTTGTTTCAGGCTGCTGACCATAGCTATTCATGCGCCCTTGAGAGGTCATTCTTATATCATGGTCGAATGTATGTTTCAGCATGGCATATTTGCTTTCACTCTAATGTCTTTTCAAAGCAAATGAAGGTAAGTTTTTTATCTCGTGTTTTTATTCGAGAATTTGATTTTACTTGCATCAAGATATTTTCGAAGTTGTTATTTCTCGCGTGCTGTTCTACTTATCCATGGGGGAAGGGGTAAGGTTTGAGATGTGGTGGTTGACTTTATTTTACAATTTTGTGATGTGCCGTGTAGTTGTTGTTGATGTATCCTGTGGTTGAACATGATAGCATGGTGGCGGAGACAGAGAGGAGAGAGGGAGGGAGGGAGGGACTTGTTGGCTTAGTCTAGTTCGTGGTTTTGTCTTGTATATTATCCATTTATTTGCCAATTCTTTTACATCTTTTTCTATTGCATTGTCTTGTATATTATCCATTTATTTGCCAATTCTTTTACATCTTTTTCTATTGCATTTTCTTGTATATTATCCATTTATTTGCCAATTCTTTTACATCTTTTTCTATTGCATTGTCCTTACCTAGTCTCCAACTCTCCCTATGTTTTCAATGCAGGTAATTATACCGTTTCAAGATATTGACGAGGTATGTTCTTTCCATCTGTATCATGTTTCCTTGGCTGGTTGTTGAATGATTAGAGATGCTTTTGGTTGATTCAGATAAAACGGAGCCAGCATGCATTTATCAACCCTGCTATAACGATTATTCTCCGCATGGGTGCGGGTGGACATGGTGTACCTCCTTTGGGAAGTCCTGATGGTAAGTCTAGGTGATCCAATTATCTAAGAAACTAGTTTTTTTTGGCTAAAATATCTAGGAAACTACTTAGGAAACCAGTAAGAGGCGCTGATTAATTAAGTGGTTTTATTAAGTCTATATAGCTGGCCATTGTCTGAAAAGAATTTGGTTCTGTTGTTGTTATAGATGAACTGTCTGTTATTTCGTGGAGGGAAACTTGTCTTGTTTGACCAATGCAAAGCAGATGCTAAAAGGGAAAACTGATGAATCAATCTGAACAACTGTAGCTTTTTTGTTTCTTTCCTTTAATGCTAATGTGAAAAGAGTTGAAAACATAGCTTTTAGTCTTTGACCCTCTAATAGACGAGTCATTGCTGTTCAGTTTATTTATTGGGAGCACAAGTTTTCTATGTGGTTAGGTTGGGCTATCTGTTTCTTGACCTCATTTTGGTTTTCTGAATATATATGAAATTTAAACTAGTCTTATTACAAATGACCTTAGGGCACCAGTTAAGATAGCTGTAAATAGTATGAACACTGATTGAGCTTTGGCAGTTTAAGAAGTACTCATTGCAAGAAAATTACCCGTGTAGAAAAGTTTAGATTTCCAAAGCATGTTTAATGAGTTTTAGCAAGTGTCTCAATAGAACTCTTTAATGTTTTCCAGTTTAGATTTTGTTTAAATCTATACATGTTTTCTGGATTTGGCTTGTCAAAGTCCGTTTAAAATCAGTTTCATGTGGGCTCTAAAGAAATTACTTACGTTTAAAAATACAATACTTTTACTCAGTTTATTGTCCTAGAGTAATGAAGAGAGACATTTTTCTGGTAAGGATATGTCTCAATGTTGTAACAGTGCATTAGCTGCAAACATGATGGTGCTCTAGCCTTGGCTTTCATGTTAGGACCCTTGTTTTATCAGCTGGATAATGTGACTTCTCACCGAATATGGAATGGGGCAATTTATTTTGTTAGTTGAAGAGTGCAGCTTTAGTTATCAGCAGAGATGTTTGAGTGATAGATGCCTAGTTATGAGGAAAAAAGTTTCTGCCTTTGAATAATATTGCCTTTTTTAGTGATGACTTCCTGTCAGTTGAATATTGGATGCAAGAATGTATTTCTGTGGATTTGCCTTAGCAAAATTGCTTGACCAGTGACACTCTATTAGGGGTCTGTTCTCGAATGGTTATGATAGATTCTATGTGATCTTGATTTTTCCATTTTACATTTTCAGGTAGAGTTAGATATAAGTTTGCATCATTTTGGAACAGGAACCATGCATTGAGAGCTTTACAGCGCGCGTTAAGCAACTTCCACGCAATGTTGGAAGCTGAAAAGAAGGTCTTTTCTCTTACTTTGTTGAAATTTATCTCGTATTTTCTTTCTCAGTCAATTCCTTAGCCCCTCCCCAACCCCCACTTAAAGGGAATAAACACCTCCAATCTCTCTCTCTCTCTCTCTCTACCCACCCCTGTGCCCACACACAGACTCCCCAGTGGTTTAATGCTCATGTTTACTGCTGTGCTTACTGGGACATTGGTGCTGATCATGTGTTAGGACTCAAATGACAATTCGATCTCGTATAAATTAAGGGCTTTATTTCCCAGCTTGGACTGGTTTATCTTTGCCCTCGATGTCCTTGCTTTCATTTTGGACAATGATAGTCTTTGTGCTACTTAATCTTGATTTGTATTAATAGTACTTTATACTCTGAAATGAGTGAAACAATATTAAAGTTGCTGTAATCTTTAGATTTGTTTTTAGCATAAGTTGTGGATGGCTGCATTAGCCTATGTGAAGGACCTGCTTATTGTATCTGTGATTGGGAAGGAAATTATGCTTGCTGGCACTACATTATACTGTTAAATGCTTTGGATGATAACATTCTCGTATTATCAGGGAGAGAACTTTATATCTTTAGGCCATTGCGGGCTTCTACTTTTAGAATTTACGTATAATCTATTATCATGAAACTTTAAACCTGATTTGAGGATGGTTTCAATTGATAAATCTCTAGTACACAGTATCTAAAATTTTCCCTTTGTCTTGGTTTTAAGCTTTTACCAGATGTGTCGAAGTACTGGAGTTCTCATCCTTCTAAATGTGCTCCTTAATCTGAAAAGTAGACAACGTGTTCTGACATTGATCCTTTCTGGCATACAGGAAATGGTTGAGTCAGCATTACGAGCTCATAGTAGCTCTGTGAGAGGTAGCAGAAGGTCTCTCAAGACTCCTGAAGATAGTGTATCCAAGACTGGAAAGCTTCAACCTTTCATTAAAGAAGAAGTTGTAGTTGGGATATACAAAGTGAGCATTATTCCTTTCACTCTGAAGTTTAATTTTCATTATCGTGAACACAATCTAACTTGTTATTCTCTCAGGACGTCTTCCCTTGCTCAGCAGAAAAATTCTTTAATCTACTTTTGAGTGATGATTCGAAGTTTACAAACGAGTACCGTTCAGCAAGAAAGGATACTAATCTTGTCGTAAGTTGCTACTTAGCTTATAGTAATCATATTTGGAATAATGCATATGATCAGGCAACAAAATATGCCTTGTCTGGTAGCCTTTATTCTCACTAATTACCATTGCCATTGGCATTTCATTAGTACATCTGCGTCCCTGATTTATAGTTAAATTGCATCTATATATATGAGATAAGATAGCACAGAAGCTCATTAAGGGGTTCAAAAAATCAATCTACATATAATTTATTTTTTAATATTTTTTATAAACAAGCTCCATATGAATTGCTCGAGCTTGAATTCCTAACTAGAATCGAACTTGTTTCCTTTTTGTAGGACAAGTATGGTTTAGTTGATAGATTTTTCATTGATTGGATGGCTGATGCAGTTCAAACTCGATTTAATCTGTAACTGTGTGCCTCAAACTTTTCACGCTACTTATGGTGTGTTAACATAAGGACTCTATCAGCAAGAGCATTGTCATGGGCTTGTAGATCATACGGGATGGCATTGCAGGTTTTAAAGCATTGGTTGAATATACTAAATAAGAGTTGGTGGATGCTTCATCTGTTAAGTAGATTAAACTTTACGTTCATGCCCAGAAAAAAATGAAAGTTTGGATGGACATAAAAAAAGAAAACAGAAAGAACTTTATGTTCAGCCAATTGCATGGCCTTTTGCATTGCTTCTCTAGTTCAGTATCCTCATGCTTCCTTTAACTCATGGGTTCATCACAAACCTTTTCCGATCTGTCATTCTGATCAAGGAACTTTGGATATGCCTTTATGAACTTCCATTCGATTTAGAAGCTAATTATAAGGATACAAGACTGTTGTTCAGCCCTTATGTAAGCATGGTCCTGCCGCTAGGTTTGATTACAAGGTTGTCCTTTTTCTGTGAGCTCATGATGACCAGCTTAATTTAAATAGCGTGTCAATCTTCAGTAGTCCCATGGCTTCTACTTAGTAGGGGAGTCTGTCTGTATTCGTAGCCTGCTGCGCTGGTAGGAATTTCCTGGGTTGACAAGGCTTGGTTTATCTCATCTGTGTTATTGCCTGTCCATGCTCGAAGGTGCATCTCTTTAGCATTCTGTAAGAGTCATCTCTTGCTATCACGTTCTTGCTTTAGTTTGAATGATGTTGGGGCTCTCCTTTATTGCAGACAAGAAAGGTTATGCCAGATTTCGTCCTACTTGAAATTAAAACATGTTGCTTAGTTTGTTACAATATAACAGAATATCTCGTCGTTTTCTTGTTCATAGGCATAAATTTTAAGGGTGAAACTAACGCCTGCTCTGGTTTCCTGGTTGCTAAGCAGGGGTTTACTTCGAATTGATGGCTATTGGCATCATAGTTTCTCTCCTATTTTTGCCGAACCCTATTTTTATTCAGCAAGACAAATTATCTCTGTTAGAATAGAAATTTCATGCTCTTTTTGTTATGGAATTTCCAGATGGGGCAATGGCATGCTGCTGACGAATATGATGGTCAAGTGAGGGAGATTACCTTTAGATCCCTTTGTAGCAGTCCAATGTGCCCACCTGACACGGCCATGACAGAGTATCAGCATGCTGTTTTATCACCAGATAAGAAAACTCTGGTACGCCTGCTTGCGTTAGCTTCTTACTTGATTCTCGTCAATGTTCTCAATACATGTTAACCTGCATTAAAGGGCTGTTCTATAGCCTCTCCTTTTGTTTTTGGCCAACATTTTGTAGCCTCTGTTTCATTTTGGTTTTACCCTTGTCTTCTTTTCTGCGTCTCCCTATGGTTCTAAATCTACTATGGTTGAGTGAATGCTCTTCCTCCTTGTAGGTGTTCGAGACAGTCCAGCAGGCACATGATGTTCCTTTTGGATCCTGCTTTGAGGTTTTACATATAATCTTTGTTTTTCATATTAAGTTCCTGTTAGAAAGTACTGATCTATTTAATTAGCATATGCGTGATATCAACATCTTTTGAGTTACATAAATCTTGGTTTTTCATGTTTTGTTTGGTAACTGTGATGTCAATCAGCTTATCACATTATTTCGATGGTTCATGGTAAATCTGCGCCATACCTTTTGGAGAATCCTGGAAGTATCATAATGCAATTAGTAATGCCAATTACTTTGGACATGGCAATTGGCAAGGGCCTCTTGGAGGTGCATTAGTAATTGGACCAATAGACCACTCTCGACAATGTTAGTTATTTTCACATTCATTCTATGTGTGGGTTGGATGACGCAACTCACACCCATTTCTATACACCTATTTAAAGCTCTTTTATCAGATGATGAAAGTGCTCAAAACTAATAAACTTAAAACTCCTTTTTCGTCAGAATCTGTATACAGATAAATCTTATTAGTCAAGGCAGTTGAATGATTAAGGGTTGCAGAAATGATTAAAGACAACAGGATGGGTACAGGAAAATGAGAAATTGTTTTGTGTAGGTATAGCAGTTTCTGAGAGGAGAAAATACATCCCGGTATTATTGATTCTATTTTATGGATGGTCATCTGATGTTGTCCTCTCTCTCTGCGCACAGAGACAATGTACATCCATCACACAACTATCCTTAATAATTTGCTATGGCAGTTTCTCTTTCTTAATTTTTTTTAATGTTTTTTACTTGCCAATATGCAGCATGCACGTTTTGATTGAGGCTGTCATCCTATGTTTCTACATTCCACATAATTTGTTATGTCGAAATGATTTTGCCATCTCAGGTTCACTGCCGGTGGCATTTGGAGACGAATGATGAAAGCTCATGTGCCATCGATATTAAAGTTGGTATGTTCCTTGGGATCTATCATTCGTCAGTCACTTGCTAACTCAAGTTGTGATGAACTGATCTGGAGCACCCACCTAGATGGGTCCTTGGTGTTCTATGCCACAGAAGATATGTAAAGGAGTTTTAGAGTTGCCTAATTACAGTTAATGACGTGATTCGTTTGTTTGATGGTAACAGATATAGGTAATTGTCCGGCAACCTCATTCCACATGTAACGTGTGGAATCTAGAGGATTGTTGAGTTGAGCCACCATAGGTACATTGATAAGCACTGATTTTTGTTGAGGTCAACGTTCAGGACGAGTCTGTGATCTCATTGGGCAGTTTTTCGTTAACTATAAATCTTGGACATGTTTAGAATGCTGAGAAATTTCAGAGCTGTTTGGTTAGGAAGGCAAACCTGAAGGTTTGACTGGTTTGCGTGATGTTAAATAGCAACTAATACAGCACTCATCTGTGACAAAGGAAATGATTGAGATGGTACTCAGCCTTAAATCTCTGGAGACAGATGGATGAATGAAGGGCGAGGGGTGATAGGTAAAGGTTTTGGAGATGAAAAATAGGTGTCCTCATATGGGCATTTGACATAATTCTTTCTCCGATGCCTTTCTGACCCGACCAATATGCTTACCAAGCTCAGATATCTGTGATAGAATAAATGGCTCATAGTTGTCCAGATGTTTAATTAAAGCAGAGGAAACCAAATAAACTTGAATGAAGTACCATGAGCACGTGTACTTAGATGGAGGAGAACAAGAAACTTTTATGGCAAGGATTATGATTTCAACCAATTATCAACATTTTGGTTGATGAAAATGATTACCACACAAATAAGCTTGGTCCTTCTTTAGTTCGCAAATGCTTTGTCATTATGCTTGAAGACATTGGAACTGTTGTTGCTAGATGAATGTCTTTGAGAATGCCGGTATATGTTGATGCAGATATTTTGCTTGACACTGAGATAATCGATATAGGGAACGTTGGATATACATAAAAGGTGGCGGATGCAGATGTCCAGGGAATATTTGATTGTGCTGATTTTAATTCACTTGTTGCAGTGAACCAGTTTAGACTCATTGTATGTGGAGAATAATTGGTCAAGAAAGCATCTTTCTTTGTAGCGTGAGTTTGGCTATTCCTTTAAGTGAAGCTTTGATTGCTCACTGTTTAATTAGCAAGTATGAGCGATTCAGTTGAACAAAGTCCTATGTTGTATCAATGTTATCTTGACTACTGCTGCGGATAGGTTACCTTGCTTTCTACTTTTGAATTCCAGCTTTGTGACCAATGATCCAGAAATTCCCTGCAACGGAGCCCAACTCCTTAGTTGTGATGTTCCTTGTTTCATTTTTTTATAGAGCTTAAGGTAATAGATTGTGCTGCGCCTAACTTACAAAGTTGCAATTCTGCAGGTGCCCATTTTAAGAAGTGGTGTGTGATGCAATCCAAAATCAAGTCGTCGGCTATTAATGAGGTCTGTGCATCTTTTGCTTAAAGCATTATATCTTCTTTTTTCCCCGTCACAATTTCTTTAGTATCATCTTCTGATGTATGTTATGATCGCTAATGCAGTACAAGAAAGAGGTGGAGATAATGTTAGATGTGGCCACCTCCTATCTCAAGTCAAATGCTTCAGCTGGCAAGACCGACGAGAGTGCTTCATCTGCCACCGCCGCGACCGAAGGCAGCAGCTAGTATTGTACAATGTCTGAACCTGCATATGTACCATTCAGTCTGTACTTGTACCATGAGATTAAAAGAAAACGGTTTTGCCTCTTTTTTTCCCAAAGCAGATGTAGATTCTGATGTCCCACGCCACTTCACTTCACCCTGTCTCTTTTTGGGGAGAACTAGAGGTGTATGTTGTGTCTTTTGTTATATATCACCTGTCAAGTTAAGGTGCAAGATACTTACCAGCCATCAAAGACGATTACAGAGAAAATGATGGTTTGGGTTGAGGACGGTTCGTTTTGTTTGTGCGTCTGTTGTACTTATACGACCGAAATTAGAAACTTTGTGGTAAGAGGTTGTTCTCTAATCCTGAATGGGTGTATCGATGCTTGAGATTGCAATATACGTGAATGTGGAGTGTTTAAAAGAACGGTGATCGAGATCTACAAATGCTTACAGAATGTATTCAGTGGAGTATTTAATGTGTTTTGTGCATCTGCAGTAGTCAATCTCTCTACGTTGGCAGCTTTGATCAGAGTACAATTTCGGGAAGCTCCAATCACGGCTCTCTCTGCACGCGCCGGGGTTGTGAGATTAGCTGCTGCGATCTGGTCAAACGAATCAGTCCTACCAAAACCGATGGATCTACGAGGGAAGTTTTCTCTTGATATGGTCTTCAAAGGGCTGTACTATGATGTATGCAAACGTGAGACGCTTTTGTTATCTTTAACTTCCAAATTGCCGTGTCTATGAGCTAGTGCTTTGAGGCACGAGCAAACACTAAGGTTTGAACTTTACAGTTGATATACAAAGCCAATACTTCGAAAATTGAAAAAAATCTCTCGTTTAGTTGTTTAATCAGTGCTCCAAGGGCAATTTTTAACGAGACTCCATATTTAATCATTTGATTTTAGAAATATATCAGAATCAACCAAGCATGGTACTGGCTTAGTAGCTAAGGAAAGGATTGAATTGCATTGCATCATTTGACCTACGAGATGCACCAAATATCTCTGCTTCCATGCCTTCTGATCATTGTGATTGATTGACCATCACAAAAATTCCCAAAATGAGCATAGACAACATCTTTTACACTTCCAGCCCAAGGCTTCAACATATGCAGCTTAATCATGGAGAGATGTCGCTTTTGAACCAAAAAAAAATGGAGAGATGTTGCTCATGACGTACTCTCTCCCACATATGTGGACTTTGGGCTAGTCGAGCCCGCCATCATTGGAGAATTGTAAGCATACACCTGCACATCCCGCTCTAAAACTATTCTCTGCCATTTTAGCATTCTCTATCACGTGCAAATCGACATATGCTCTAAATTTAAGGGAGTTTGATAAGAGGCCGAGCAATTCAAACACATCAATCACTACTTTAAGGGAGTTCGACAAGAGGCCGAGCAATTCAAACACATTAATCACACTACTTTGATGCTACCCAAAAACCAAAAGCTCAAGTTAATAAACAGAATGTGAAGTTGTTTCTTCCCTTCTTCTTTTTTTTTGGATTAGTGTACTAAAAAATCCTAAAACTTGTCACCAAAATGCAATCTGAATCCTAAAATTTTCAAAAAATGTAATCAAATCCTAAAACTTGTCACGAAAGTACATTCGGGTCTTAAAACTTTTAAAAAGTACCATCAATAGAAAGACTTGATTGGATCAATTTGACAAGTTATAAAATTTAATCTCACTTTTTGAAAACTTTAAGACTCGTGCACTTTTATGACACGTTTTAGAAATTAATTGCACTTTTAAAAAGTTTTATGATTCAATTACACGTAACAGGTTTTAAGACTTCTAATGCACTTATCCCCTGTTTTTTTTTGCTAGTACTGGGTTCAAACTCAGCTCACATCCCGGGACCCTCCCCACCTTGCCAACAGAGCCGCACGCCTGCTGGCGACAGAGCGTGAGGTTAAATGTGTAACCATGCAAGACTAGCAAGTAGCAACACAAACACAGGAGAACCATTCCGTCACGCCCGAGCTCGGCAGCAGAAGGTGAGAAGGGAACTAAAATAATTTGAGAAGCAATTCGGCATACGAGGTCTAAAGCAACATGGTCAAAGAAGCGGTTCATATATTCAAAACTTTTCAGAACCATTACTTTCATCATATCTTCCCAAGATGTGCTACTCAAGCTTTTTTCAAGTATACATATATAAATAGCAGAATGACTGACGCTACTGAGAAACCAGGCGGTCACCACGTCCACGCCTCTTGCGCGATCATGTTTACATTAGCTGGCTGAAGGATGAGCCTTCGCTGGAAGTGCGCGATTGATTTTCAAGTCTCGGGGAAGTAGTTTTAATCGGAGCCCATATGTCGGCACCGTTGGTGCTAGCAAATCCAGCAGTGCATGAGATAGGGACAAGGCACAGACCTCTGCTTCGCAGACTATACAGCTCCGCTTCCTGCGGAAGAAGGAAAAAGAATTCAGACTATCTATATTTTTCAAAGGATCAAAGCAACGTGACAACATCTGACAAGAATGTATAGATGAACGTCCAGTCCCAAAAATTTTCAACCGTCATTTGTTGGCGGAGCTAAGCCATGGGAGCCCCTCACTGTTTTTTGAGGTATAATTGCAAATTTTATAAAGCAAGCTATAAAGATCACTATTTCCTTAAATTTTGTGGTCAAGTTAGATAACGTGGAGAAGATGCAATACTTCCCCAAAATTGGCAACCGAAAAACTTTCGATTTTCAGCAATTCATGTTTCCAGGGAACCATAGAAACACCCCATGAACCAAAAGACATGATATGCATGAAACTAGTTGTATATCAATCACATTTACGGCTTCGGTACAGAACATCAATGTCAACACGAGGTGTTTTGTCTCCCAAAATAAAAATAAGAAACTTGCTAAAGGAGAAAATCCGAGAACTAAATGCTGTCTTTCCAAAGTCCCTCATGGTCCACTAACCTGCATCATAGTCGCTGGCATAGTTTGAAGGTATGGCGCGCTCAATACCTAGAAAGCCAAAACATTATGTTCAAGATTAAAAATTCGGCCAAAAAAGCTAAGAGATCTTATTGAGATCACTGACTTGAAGGAACCTGTCAAATTGAACCTATACAAGCATAAGAAGAATACGCCATCTAATCTAATAGTACGCTACTAATTTGCAATGTGCATATGTAGCCAGAGAAGGCCGAACCTTAACTTGCTCATGGAGGAATTGTATGTATTCAGAAGCCTCCGACAGTACTGAAGCTGTATCTGTCTGAAATAAGATAATTACAGGAAGAAAAAAATCGTTACAAGTGGTGACATAGACGCCAGTAGCATAGGCACCAGCTTATTGATCTTAAATTGAGAAGTTAACTAACGGGCTTTCAAAAACCTCCTAGGCCTAAAAGATGAAAATAAAGGGATCATATTTATATCAGTTTATTCATGTACCTTCCCATATGGTGAAACAAGCTGTTGCAGTTGAACAATCTTTTCCCCGAGCTTCTCTTTCCTTTCCTATTAGCAGAAGGAGCAGATAAGAAAGATAAAGAGGCGGAGTCAGGATCATTCATCTAATTCATCATATGGCCGTGAAAATAAAAGGGTGCAACGACTTCCATGAGTAACAAACTAGACGAAGGAAAGTGTTAGTAATGCCAATTTATCTTCTATCAAGTATGATAAGTAAAGGAACCAAGACATTCCAAATAGTAAACCATCCATTAGATTTTTTTTTTGTTGGCCCGACATACATTAGAAGATGCAAACGCTATTTCAATGGAATCTAAGAGGGGGGAGGGAGAGAATGAAGAAACCTTGTTTGAAATGGATAAGCCACCCTTGTGACGCTTGGATATAAGGGAGGTGATAGTGCTGTGGTCAACACTGCATGGACTCCTTTTTTGTTCCATCATCTTTTCCCTTAACCTTTTCTCTCCCTGATACAAAGCACAGAAATGTATATAAGCATTTCCACATAAGATGATAAGAATCCACAAAGTACAGCTTTTGATGACAATTTGATTCCAACATGGACACGACACGTTATTGATCAAATGGAGAAGCAACTGTATGAAGGGGAATATCTCGAAGCAGAGATCATGATTGTGAAAACTGGTTGTCGCTTTTCTTTCATCAAATTATGGAAGCCATTGTATATCCTACCAAACATATTGCATTATTCAAAATATCTTCTTCATTTTGATGATGTATACTCATGTACCTTAATAATATCAGGTTGGATGTTGATTTGGATGTCTTTGTGACCACTGACAAGTTTTCCCTACAAGTAATTCAATTAGCAGGACCTTTTCCTCATAACCAGAGACAGATCAATCACTTATCACTGCCTCAGAAAAGTGCTGCTTATTCAGAGAGGCTTCCATGGCATCTCAAGCATTCACTCTGCATCTATTCTCAGCCTAAATTGCAAATCAATTCAAGACCATATTTATTCACATCATCAGTTCTGAAGAGTCATGATATTCTTTAACGTGTCCCATAAAGTTCTAGGTTCTAACGAAAACAATTTGTCCTGGTTAAGTAAAGAAGTTAAAAAACGATACCGAAATGCCTAAATCTGGCTTTTAAAAAGATCTACACACTATGCTTCTAAAGGACATTGGGAAGCTCAAGTGCCTCTTTCTATGTGAGGTTCATCCACTTTTTTCCAATATTATCAGGCAGCACCACAAAGGTTTGTTTACTACTTTACTCAGGCATGACATCAACGCGGTTGACAAAATGCAGAGACAACACATCCAAAATACGAAATTGCGGTTGACCATCCAATAGGATTGTTCCTATCGTAAACCCAAGCTAGAGTACAAAAACTCAAAACCCGATGGAGTATTTTAAAAGGCATTCTTGCTGTCTTAAATAATCATGGATTTGGATAAACTGCACACGACACCATGCAAACAATAAACAAATTGTTAAGGGCATGGACAATGATATCATTTTCTATAGTATGTGCATTGTTTTTCCCAGAAGACAATCCACCGGTCCATCCTCCACAACATGATAATATAGGTTTACCTAAAACAATATTTTAACAAGTCTATTCAGTACCATGTCATTGACAATTATATACCAGTGACCTTTCAAACAGACAAGGTTACTTTAAATAAATGCAAAGACCCCAATCATCTCCGCAAAAGCTAGTTGAAGCTTCAATATCATGCTCAAGATCACCGGTGAACGTATAAGCTTGATAAAATAATGCCTCTCTGGTGATTCGATGAATTTTCATCAGCAAATAAAGCAACCAAACGATGCATTGAGTCGGTGTAACAGAAAGTGTCCAAGATTTGAATTATTTATACTATCTGATGTTTCTAGATCGCCAAGCTCATTCCATGCATCTGAAGCATTTTTTCATCTTCTGCAACCACTCAATATGGTATAAGTAGAGCATTAAAAAACAGGGCACAAACAATTTTTTATGCTTCAGGGTTAGGATACAAGCGAAAAACAACAGCATCCAAAGTCAAGAAAAGCAACTATCCTAAAGAAGAACAATCTCCTCCATTTCCAAGGTCAAACTATTTTGCGGCTTTTCTTTGGGCAAATTGATAGAGGAACATGAGAAAGTGATAACCCCATGCTTTTCTCTCCTCCATTCAACAAGTTCACAAACTCCGTGATAGAAGAAGCAACAGCCAGTAACATAAAAAGAACTTATGCCAGACATTACAAGAACTTACCAAGAACATGTACACCGCATTCTAAGGCGAGCAAGAAATCCCCCTCTTAAAACTGCACCGCCAAGATACAGTCTTTAGTCAATTCCAAGGAATTCTGACTTGAAGAGAGAGTGAAAACAGCTCAAGACTTCAAGAAGAGTCCTGTTTTGATGAACCCAGAAGCGCATGGAACTCAAAACTCAACGCGGACTCAAAACTCGCGGTCAGCGGCCTCACTGCCTTCTCTCTGGCTCTCTTAAAAACGGGTTCTTGTTTTCTAATGCAAACTCGTCAGCTCGAGAGCTGTCAAGATGAAAACTTTACGAAACCGATGCCAAGATTCGAGCAGCCCAAGGGCCAGAAACGCTGAACGGGCGAAGCCACTGAACTGCAGCAAGAGAAAACAGACACGCGGAGAGAGAAAAGCAGGTGTTGAAAAGAGGGAGAGAGGAAAGAGAGAGGGACAGGGAGAGGGGTTAAGGAGGAGAGACTGATATAAGGTCCTGAAGTTAGTATAAATCAGTCGACAACCATTATTTTATTTTGATTTTTTTTGTCAACTTTTCTTTGGGGTAGAGCCTTTTATTTTACCATTCTTTAAATTTTGTTATTAAAATAATGAGGAGGATGACATTGATGTGTTCCATATGTTGCTGATTATATAGTTTCTTTAGTGAAATAAAACAAGAATTTGACAGCTAATTTACAACCATGCAAAGAAGCAGTTATCTTCTGTTTGATGTCATTCTTTTTCAACACATCTTGATAGTGACATGAGAGCCTTGGCTTCTCTTGTTTCCTTTCTTCGTAAAAACAGTAGCTTGGTTCTTCGGTTGCCGTGATCTATGCGGTTCATTTATTAAGTGCTACTACTTCTTTTCTCTTATTTATATTTTTTTTTCGTACCTCCAAAAACGCCCGAAATATATCCACTGTAACACCGATATTTCAAATTTCTTTTGTATAAAAAAACTCCTAAACCATGCTCACATGACGCTAATACCCCAAACTTTTGTATTAGTGTGACAAAAGTTTGGCCTGCTAGTGACACATAAAAAAAGAAAAAATACCACCAAAAATCTCAAAACTATGTCACTTGTAATAAATTTACTCTAATTTTTTTTGTGACACGAAAAACCTCAAACAATGCCACTTGTGACAATTTTACCCCAAATTTTTTTTTGTGATACGAAAAATCCCAAACGATACTACTTGTGACACATTTGCTGACAATGGTACATTTTCATCTTTTTCCTTTTTTTCTTTTTCTTTTCTTCTCTCTTCCCTTTGTCGGCCATGGCGGAGGGAAGCCGGCGAGGGCGACCCTCGCCAACGTCGAGCGTCCCTCGCCAGCGTCGGGCAAGGGTTGCCCTCGCCGGATTTGGCGAGGGTGACCCTCGCCTAATGCCGGCTTCCCTCCGCCATGGCCAGCGAAGGGAAGAGAGAAGAAAAGAAAAAAAAAACAGAAAAAGGAAAAAAGATGAAAATGCCCATGAACCAAAGTATTGTTGGGTAAATATGTCACAAGTAGCATAGTTTGGAAACAAATCAAAAGTTGATGGACCACATTACACACTTAAATAAAGTTCATGAACTATATTGAGCAAACTATAAAGGTTCAAGGACGACATTGCATATTGGGCCAAAGTTTATGGTCAATTTGTGTAATTATCCCATAAGGATTCATAATGATATTTTCCTTTTTCTTTAGATGTGTCTAGAAATGGAAGTCGCATTCACAACTTTTTAAAATTTCGGAAAAAAAAAAATCCAACTGTTGGTAACTGTTTTATTGTAAGATCTCTAAGTCAAATTTTTGTGCAATTAACTAAGTTCATCCCTACGACTTGGTCAAATATAGATCGGTCATTACCAAGACTATAGGGCCTCATAAGGAACTAAACCCAAGTGCTAGTATTTTAAATGATAAAAATAAAGTCATTAAAAATACTACATGCCCATTAGGAGAGTTCATATTTTTTTCTTTTAAAAAAAACTAATAATCCTCGAGGCCTATGATTTTTTAAAAAAGAAAACTTGTTTAAAAATTACTTGTAAATTTTAACAAATTCATACCCAATATGAAATCAGTGATAAAAAATTACAGGGGCTGGTATAATGTGGTATTGGGAATCAAATTGGAAAAGAATACTCGAAACATATCAAAAGATGGATTTCTGATACCAAAAATGGCCTTAAACATCTTCCAACGCCGTGCTGTCGATCTTGGATGAAATTTTTCGATTGTACTTATAGTCCCTATAACTCCACATCGATTAAAAGTTGTGCTATCTTAAGGCCGAGGTTAAATCTGTAAAAATGGGTCATAAACTCATTTCTTAACCCATATTTAATGAGCTGGGTTGTTATATGTTTTAGTTATACGGAGTGAACGGGTCGCAAATGGGTTTAGAACGATAAAACTCGAAATAATATGGGTGTTAAATGGGTTCATATCTTATTTAAATCCAACCCAACTCTATGACTCATCTTCACTCTTTCTCGCTCTCACTTGATCTTGCGCTTGCTCACTTTGTGCTCTCACATCAATTTAGATATGAGTTTTATTAGATTTGGTTTAAATATGAAAGTATTTTAAATATGGATTGGGTCAGTATGGATCACCAGATTTTTTTTTAAAATTTTTTATCGGGATGTGTCAACATATTTGTATTGTATAGAAATGGGTCAAAACGAATTAAATGGATCGGACCATTTTTCGACTCGACCCTATCTGACTCACATGTTTGACGGGTCTAGCCGAGGTGTGAGAATTTCGTTTCTTTAAATGAAGCACACAAATTTTCTTGCCAATATTTTACCGATATCATGTTGTGATTTTTGAAAACTGATAATTAACAATTGCTTATTTTGGAGAAAAACATAATCTTTGGCTCGAACGGATTTGAACCAAACCAAATTACTTTCCAGAATTTTATTGTAATAAACAAAGCCCAGATTTCGAGACTGTAGCTTGAAATGTTCGAGGAGGGCCGTATGGTTTGATCAGCTACAAGTTGCGCTTACAACTTCATGCAGGCCAGTCGCATCCTGAAATTCGAATTGAGGACGAATTTTTGGAGTTAGCTCACCTTTGCGGACCCATCAATGGCCTTACCAACCATCCAAACCTAACTATTAATTTTTTTTTCGGTCAAATATGATCAAATTAAAATCTTAAGGGTTTCAAAGTGCTAAATTCTTGTCATCTCGTCGACTCAGACAACCTCGATGTCTAAATCATTAAAAGCTCTCCTTTCTCTAAATATGGCCAATTAAGCAAGGGCCCTCTCAATTATATTTGGGGAGCATTCTTAACCCAAGTTGAAAACTTCCAAATCGAATCGTCTTAACCAAAAATCTTAATCCAAATCAAATAGGAACCATAAAAATTATAATTCGAGGTAAATCGATAACTTCAATATGCATTTTGGTCGATCTCAAACGGTTAACATCAAGTCCATGCACAGAAAATTAGTTCAATTTTAAGGAACTTAAACTTTCATTGCATAAACTTTTAGGAATTTCACTTTTGGTCCTTAGTCTTTATCCCAATTTAGTCCTTTGACCATTCTTTGGTCAGTAGCCATTTGTTGTCCTTAAAATTTTGACATCCTTTCGATTTTTTTAATTCAGATCCGACATGCCTTTACTTCTCATCCGTTTTTCCTTCAACGCGTGCTCGATACATGACTTTTCGAGGGACAAAATGATAGTCTTTTCGTTATTTTCAACAAAATACGTCTATTTCATTTAAGGGTGATCGATTTCAAGGTGAATGAGTTACATATATGGAATCTAGAATTTACCATGTTAGAGTCAGTTCCCAATTTTTTGGGGAATGAAAACCAACTCTAGAACTAAATTGGCCAACTCCAAGGTCCAACTTAGGAATCAATCCTGGCTTTTTTTTTTCTCGTTTCATTTTATTATATACACAATATGTTTAAAAAATGAATGCTGGAGGATGATATGCCAAACATAGTCAATTTCGACGGATATATTTTGTTTTTTTTTAAAAGATGTAAAAGAGCATACTTAGAGTTATGAGTAAACCTATTCAAAACTGGTTCAATTCCAGGTTTTGCTCTGGAACCCGTCTTGTAGATTCTACTCTGCATTCCCCCTAACCATCACCGCCTATCCTCAGCTCTTACATGGATGGCAGATGCTCGCCCAACAAAATGCATCGCTCGTCGTCGCTTTCTCGCGTACCGCGCAATTACTAGCTCTCCCTAGGCTTTACATGAATGGCCTATGCTTGCCCAACAAAAACACATCTTCCATCTCAAACCCGTGAAGGATTTTGACTTCTATCAAAACACGGTAATGGATCGCATCCACACGTACAATTCGTAAACCCTGCTTTGATACCAATTGTCACAGTTCGGGAATTGGCCTTGGTCATGGAACCGTGCAGCGCATTCGGTTAACCTTTGCTTTCGATCTAATGACTTGTATCGTGGAATTCCTGTTCTTATCGACTAGTTTGTATCTCCCATCAATTGGGTTATCGCACCATCCTGAAGGAGACAGGCATGTGTCTCGATTCAACATAATAACTACTTTCGCCCCGCCAGCCATCATGAGCAGAGCGGCTTTAGCTTTCGACCAGTTTGTGAACAGGTAACCAATTTTGCCTTCGGACATTTTCCACATGATATTCCTTTCATCACTAGATTTCTAAGACAAAATTGCTAAAACCACTTCGAAAATCCAGTTGTATCGTTTATATCGCATTACTCACATTACAGAGATGCAAATGACACGAATAAATGATATGAACACAAAGATTTAACATGAATCGTCAAGGGATTTTTCAACAGTAAAAGGGTAGGGAAAGGCAACCCTCGAGCGTTAGTCATGTTAATCATAAGTTTTATATATCTGCTACACAATATTCGATTTAAGTCATAATTACTTTGCATCATTTACGATTTGAAGGTTTGATGCCAACGAGCTCGTCAGAGCAACTCCACCAAAATGCTAACAGCCGTGAACTCGCTTATCGCTTGTGTTTAGTTTGCCTTTCCCAAGGGCCTCCAAATCTTCTCGAGGGAAATTTGGGTTTTTTGGTAAATTTTTTTGGGACCCATTTGGCCAAATGCTAGCGTTAGCAAAGCCGAAAGTTCAAGGGGCTAGTCTTTCAACATTTTCGGAAAGCCATTTCTTAGGATTAATATATATTTTTTCCTTTCAAAACTACCCTCACCATTTTTTTTTTCTTTTTCTGGTTTTACCCCGTAAGAACTGCTCATCTTCTCCATGTAGATCGCTAGTGAAGAAGCTCTATCGAGAGTTGCGCAAGGTCGGTCTATAGTCCTTAATGGTTACGCGACCTCGGCTTGGGGAGGTCGGGGCCGCGCGACACCGAGGTCACCGGGGCGTGACCCACGACGGCGGTCGGGATCGCTTGAGGTCGCACGACCTTAGATGACGGATGCTGGCGCTAGATGTGGCTTGCCGACGTCTTCTACCGTGA